CTCAAGAATGCCACATAACCATACTGCCATTTCGAGCGGTTAGCTCCTCTTCATTTTAGGAGGAAGTACAAGATAGACCCACATCCATTACGTTCATTTTTCTATTTTTTTTTTGTCCGAAAATTGTTCCAAGAGGCATCCAAACAACATTTCGGCCGATCGTTTGACCTTTTTTCTTATAGTTGATGGCACGGTCCCGAGAAAAGACAAGACCGTCGAACAGTGAAGCTTCCTCTGTTATTTTTCCCAACATTTTCTCCTCGTGAAAGCAGCACATCAAGAAGCAGTGGGAAGTCACCGTCTCCGACTTCATTTGTATGCATTTGGGTTTGCTGTGAGGTCGAAACAGCATCCAAAAACATTTTTTTGCAATGAAGGGACTAGTTTAGTTCAATTTCAAATTCAAGCAGCTCATTAGCGAACGGCGCATTCTTCTAGCATTGCAAGGTTAGAATTATGAGTACACTTTTGCATGCTAAGAACATGCCCTTCTACGCGAATATTTTAAATAAACGGCCTCATCGTGGATTTTCGGCGAAAAAGAATCGGGGAGCCAATGGCCTCGTATTATCGAAGGTTGTTTTGGGGGCAATGCTGATTTTCATTAAGGGAACTGAAAATTTCTGGCTGAAAATGAAAAGCGTTCTTCGAAATGTACTGTACGAGCCGTACGCGTGTGGGGTGGCCTTTGTGATCCTTGCGGAATTTGTTGCCCGCACAGGAACGGTAAACTACTACGTACACGTAACAAAATGCGATGAATTAACTCAATTTAAATCCACGCGACTGCATTGAGTTTTACTTTCACTAAGCATTTTGTACCACAACAACCGTATACCAAGGTGATTTGTAGTGACTTCCCTGGACTTGTCTGAACGCCTCAGCAAAACTCAAGTCTCAATAACCGATTTCCCCATTTTTTAATCAATCCACTTACTTAGACTCGTACAGGGTTTCGTTGATTTTCTCCATTCCCATCTTGGAACTGGTTTTCAGATTACGTTCAGATTTACGAGGTGTGATCCAAAAGTTTCTGCCCTGAGATATAAGGGAACGTGACTGATTGTTTAAACAAATTTTACTTTTCAGCATTACCTCCTTGGAAATGAATGCTAGTCCGATTGTTGGAACAGTGCTTCAAATTTATTGGGGAAAATTCATTTTCCACCGTCAACTGAAAATGCTGAAATGGCTTCACCGAAGACACCATTGTCAGTTTCGCCTTCATGGCTGCTTCGCTGGAAGTTTTGCTTTAAATTGTTATTATTGAATGAGCTGTTTCATCGGGATGATTACATTTATATCATATGAATAGCTTTAATACTAAATACAAATAAAAAATTGTTCCGAATTCAAAATTCTACCATTTGAAACTGATATTTTCAATGACTACAACGTGCCTTATATTCGAATTATTATTTAAAATATAAATGCACCTAAGACCGATTGCTGGCCCTTCAAATTACTGAAAAGGATGAATGAATATGGGAAGCAAATTTCAGCTTTCTCCGATCATTCCTACTATCTCAGGGAAGAAACTTTTGGATCGCCCCTCGTATTTTGCCATTTTGGAACATGGCATGAAAGTTTTTTTTAATATGAAGGAAAGTAATCTGAAACAAGCAAAACTGCCAGATGAATGCTATCTACGTGAAAAATAAAAGCATGAAGTAACGTGACTTGCAGGCAAATAACGGGCCCAAATTTCATGGAGAAATAATTGAATCTAATATGTCCGAATTGCAGGCGAAAGTAAGGTCACATGAGAACAGCTCTTGCACATCCGTTTAGCAGGTTAATTGCATGCCGCCGCAAAAAATGTAGTTAACATGTAGACAGAATGGAATAGAATTTGCTTGTTTCCCATAACGTAAAAGCAGGAAATTATGATGGTTCCACCTGTTAAGGTGCCATGGGAAAATTTCCTGGGTGCCTTGGGAACATTTGCTATTTTCAGCTATTGAACCCTCGTCGGGATGTCTTCGCTTCAGTGCAAAGTAAATCAAGTGCATCCAATTGCATCCAGGCTATTAGAGTAGTCTGCTGCAGGGGGTTGCGAATTTCGATCTTTCATAGGTTGCACAGCAGGCGGTATGCCTCGCCGAATTGCTAAAGGAATATCTCAAAATAAAATCTGTAGACCATATGTTTGATGCTTCCCTTTGTGTATAAGATCGAGTTGGCTACAGGGGCGGATACAGAAATTTTTCACAGGGAGGCCGGTTCCCAAGTTCCTACCTAACCCCGCTCACCCGCCTACCATCATTCCTCGTTCTTTCGCCTTTTTATTTTTCGTTCGGGGTAAGAACTTGATCATCTATTTCACTGGCTCCAATGAAATACAATGCAGATGGTATTTTGAATAAATAAATCATATGCTAACTTGGTCATGGGGGAGCGGTCGCCCCCCCCCCCGTATCCGCCACTGGTTGGCTATGCATAGAATCGTTTGACTATTTCCATATTATTGCAGAATACACGAGTCCCTATGAGTGCATGTACGCATGCTCAAAGATTAAGCCTTACTCGTCGAGTATCAAACATATTTTGCCCTCTTAAACGGATGTTAATCTCATTTCGTGCTTTGAATAGGCTTCCATGTTTCCAATAGTGCCAGGAAGACTTCTCATGGATCAGATGAAAAGGTGCATGTGAGCATCAAGAAACCTGCTTATTCTATTATCTACTCGACATTGAAATTAAAAGATGGAATATCCAACAGGTCATTGATTGGTAGTACCAAATTACTGAAATAGAACTGCTTACATTCACTATCCTCACGATTCTTCCTTATTAATTTGTTAAAAGTGCCCTGCAGTTATTGTATTTGTTCATTGTTAAGAGGGTTTGGCTTTTCCCAGAGTCTGCTTTGAGGAATACTTTTGAGGGAAAGGAAAGTGGATGGCTACATGACAAGTGACATCAAAGGAGGTTAATGTAATGGTGTACCTGTAAATTTTTTATTTGGGTATACAGTGCGATCTAAAAAGGATCTTGAGCATCAAGATCCTTTTAAGATAGATAACAGGGATCCTATTCTATGAGGATAAGCAAATTTACACAAATGCAGCTATTGGAATACCCTCAACTACAGCCCTGGTCTAATGCTGACCACAGAAAAGTCCCAAATTATGCTTCTAGTGCAGGAATTGGGGAGGAAAAAAGATTCACTGATGAGATGATTGATGGAGGCAGTATCTTCAGCTTTGATTCCTGACAAAAGGGTGACAGGGGAAGGAATCTAGGGGGCAGAAGGAAAGTTAGTGAATTCTCTACTGGGAAAGAGAAGGGTTGTCCAAGATGTGGGAAATACCAACACTCAGATGTTGGCTCACTCTTCTCTGTTGCCAATGCATATTGTCCCCAATTCCTTAGAATCAAACTCTGGTGATAAAATACCTTTCTGAAGTACAGGGTGGGCCAAAAAAACAATGCTGTAATTTTTGGTGAGTTGTCAATCTCTTTGTACGCTGCCGATTTTAATAAACTTGGTAGACTTATAGGTTGACAGAATTGGAGTTTATATACCAAATTTCAACTTTCTGGCTCTAAAATTATAAGGGCTGTAATTATTTCCTGATGACCACTGACAAATTGTGCTGTCGAAAATATAGATATGAACTTGAGGCTGGGGATGAAAGGGAGGTCCGAATTCATGAACTTCCATCCCTGCATGATGTTACATGACAAAGGGAGATTGGGAGGCACGGCCTCAAAGGTTTATTGACCGAGCCATTGATCTGTCGTGTCCCAGACTAGAGGCTAGTGTTCAACAGAATGGAGGGCACATTGAGCACCTTTTCTTTTGAAATGAACGTCCCTAAACCAAATTGTGGGCTTTTTTGTTTGGCATTTGTGCATTTGTTTTTGTTCTGCTTGTTGCTTGTTTTTTTTTTCAGTTGTGAAAGATTTTAAGCTGAAAGATAAAATGAGCACTTACTTTTTGGCTGATGAAATGTAAATTTAGTGCCAATCTCACAGTTTTTGGAATTTTCATGTGAAACTTGGCACAAACCCTAATTGAGTCACCCTGTGTCTACCAAATTTCACCAAAATTGGCAACCTACAATCAGATTGACAACTAACCAAAAATGATAGCTTTGTTATTTTTTGGCCCACCCTGTATTTGAGGATGGAGAGGACTTCACTTCGTTCTTCCAGATAAAATTTTAGTCAGGAGGAAGTATGTGAAATGGGTAATGGCAAACAGCAACTCTGAAAATGTGACCATCTTTAACCCTTATCTGGGCAAGGTATTTTTGAGACACAAACGGGCAAGGCCAAACATTTTTAGAATTTTTTCCTTAAAAGCAAATCCAAACTTTAAAAATTCGTTTTTGAATCTATGGATGATGACTGTCTATGAAACCCATATCAATTTTAATAATATTTTGAAAAAATTGCAGAGAGTAATGAAATGAAATATACCCTGGGGGGGTCCAATGGACCCCCCTTGCCCGGATAAGGGTTAAACATGTCATGAGGTTTGTTTCTCCACATCTTTCCCCAAACTTAAGTGATAAAACTATTAACCCTTTCCCTGGCAGGGATAACCGAACGTTTTGAGGATGTCAATGTAATATTACATCGATGCCAGGAAAAGGGTTAAGAGGATTAGGCTTGCTTTTACTGTCATGCAGTGGCATAGCCAGAATTTCACCTATGGGGGAGCTAAGCAGAACAGTGGGGGAGCTTACGTCTCCTTGTCGGAGGGGGGGAGGATGCATTTTGACCAGAGTTGGGGGGGGGGGGCTGAAGCCCTCCCCTAGCCCCCCCTCACTATGCCACTGCTGTCATGTGCTTACCAAACGAGGGCTTTTCCCTATATATGCACTAAAATATGCAGTCTACAATGTCAATGTTGTGAAGGTGAGCTCACAATCAAGTGAAAAAGTTTGCTAAAAGGCAGGATGCAGTCTTGCTCTAGCTGTTCCCTACAGCAACTCCAATGTGTGTGGAGAGAGGAAAGGTTGAAGTCAAAAACTACACCCTTTTCAATACTGCTTGAGGTCAACGAAACATGGGAAGGATGACATGAATTGAAACAAGGGAAGTGCAGTTACAAATAATCCTCTCTTATCAAACATCTCAGACAACATCTTTCATATCAGTGCATGAGCTCGGTTGGACTCAGCATGTCCCCTGGACTACACAATAAAGCAAGACATGAGCACAAGGAAGGGACGGAATGACAGTAAAAGATGTACAGGCATTATTTCTCTCCTACTATTTCCTGTGAAGCCCTGACTTCACAAGTCACTATCTATCATGGTGAGAAAACAATAAAAGTTGACAAAAGCCCTCACCTAAACCCATGATTTTACATTCTCAAAGAGGGCATCACAGATACATGTAGTTCATCTTTTGGCCACACCATGTGACTTGCACAACATGTGAGATACAGTTTGGAATTCCTCAAGACAATTGTGCAGATAAGAGCCCAGTACTATCACCTATCAAGATTTTGCTTCAATCAGAAAAAGCATTCCAAGCCACCATTGATGATGGAAAAAATGACCATGGAGCAAATATGAGAGGACAATATCCTCTGCAGGCTTTAAAGAGTGGGGCACCATTTGCCTGAAAGCAATAAAGAAAATTTGAAAACAATGTCTCATGGCTTCCAAGTGGAAGACATTGAGTCACAAGGTTGAGTAGGACAAAGAATGATGTAGGGTCCCAAGAGAGCACAGCAGTCCATGCTATGGAGGAACTACATTTTGAATGCAGTTCTCATCATGAGATCAAAATAGGCATCAGTGTCAATTGAGGCACTCACTCCGCTGTAGTAATCATAGAACTCATCCTTTGTCACCTGCAACAAGTAGCAAGAAAAATGCAGATCTGCTTCACATATTTTAGTTTGAATAATGACTTCTGAACCCACCTTTCCATCAACAGAGCCATTTTCTTCAAATTTGGCAAGAAACTTGCGAAGTATTTGCTCCTCAGTCTCCTCTCCACTGAGGTACTTGGGATTGCTTTTCACATTATATGTCTTCTGGAGATCCTCAACTGTAATGACTCCATCACCTGTCACATCCATCTTATTGAAAGCCATCTCCACCAGTTTCTTTCGGTTATTGCTCATTGGGGGCTGCAGAGAGAAGAAATGAAACTCTCTCCCATTAGCATATCCTAAACTTTGAAAATATGACTACTTCCTGCAGAAATGAAATAGAAGATTCTAGGATGTGAAGCACATACACGGACGTTGATGAGAAATTCGTCAAAGTTGATGCTTCCTGAGCCATCTTTGTCAAACATTTTGAATAATGCCTGGGTTTCATCATTAGTAACTTTCAATCCAGTGTCTTGCATTCCTTTGGTGAATTCCTCAATACTCAGGGATTTGTTCATGTTGTCATCCATCCGCCGAAACACCCTGTTGAGACATCAAATACATTTTTGGGGGGTTCCCCTCAGGGAAGTAATATTGTGTGGAAGCACCACACAGGATACTACTGACATGATGAAATGTCATTCCATAGGTATGAAATTACTATAAATGAGCCTCACCTGGAAAAAAAACTCCCCATTAATTTTAGATTCTCAAAATATCATCAGAATGATGGCAATTTTAAATGATTTTGATAGCTAGATAATCGCAGCTTTCCAATGCAAAGCCACTAGTTATCACCATGGCACATATTAAAAGATAATTAAGGAAAATAAACAGCAATCACCTGCTCCATAGACCACACAAGAGAGGAGTTTTTCATGAAAAGGTATACTTTGCAACTACTCAGGGAATAAAAACCTCTTGGCCTGATTACACTTCTGACTTAAGTTATTCTGGCCTAGAAGCCTCACTGCAGCCTTTGTTTACATATCCTGCTACCAAACCAAGGGGTCTGAGGAGATCAAAGCATGTTTCAGATGACAGATAGTCAGATGTGTAAGGCAAATAACTGAATGGCTGGAGTCCACTTGATCAGTCTCCTGGTCATATCCAAAACAAAGGAATCACCCACTTAAAGACAAAATATAAACAGGCTGCTTGGGCATAAACTTTTGACTCAGAATAGAATCTTAATGAATGTATTTGACTCAATATGAACTTTTTGAACACTAAGGGTGGGAGGAGCTTCCCCATCCCCCTACAGTCCTGACATGAGTCCGCCAGACTTTGACCTTTTCTATAAGTTGAAGCAACAACCAAGCAAACGTATCCGAAGCATCGAGGAGGCTTCCACTGAAGTGACCCGAGCTATCCGCCGCATCAACACCGAGGACCTGCTGACGGGCGTGCAAAACTTACCGAAGCGTTGGGAGGCGATCATAAGACAGGATGGTGATTATATTGAAGGGCTGTTAAGTGATTTTGCGAAATGAATTTTTATAAATTGAGATAATAGTAAACTGTGCATTACTTTTGAAATGACCCTCGTATTATGGCCCGAATTCTGATACCTCCTTTAGTTAGAGGTTCTTTAAGGAGAAAACAGACAATTTGTTAAGAGCCTCTTCATCTTGGAAAGCACAAGCTTCATTAAACCTTCCGCTAGCTAACGGTCCTTTAAAGGGACTTTTAGAGAGAGGTGTGAGAAGGCACGTCTTGGCATCACTGTAGATTCTACCTGAGCGTAGTTCTTCCTTTAAAGGTCTAATCTGGCGGGAAATGAGTCAATCCCACGTGGAGTGAACACGGGTGGGTGAAGTTGATTCAGCGCAAGTGGGCTGAGGTGGTAAACCGTGCACTTTCGCAGGAAAACAAAGAGGGGTTTTTTCATTTTCTTGAGTTGTTCTTTGCTTCCAGACTGAAAACAAAATCTGCTGAACCAGCTCAGTTGCAGATCATTTCCCTGGCCACCATGACACTGAGGTTATCTTCCTTCGCTATTTCGAAGCCATCTAACTTTTCAGCAAGCAAAAGTTGTCATCCCTTCGTCGATGACCTGTATAATCAGGGAGTGGGAGGAAAGTAAAGCCTGTGGGATGCGAGATACGGCATTCCTCGAGATCGGCCTACAAACTTGCCTACTCTGCCATAAGAAGCCTCTCTCTACAGGTAGTTTTGTCAAACTATGGATCCGTCAAATGCAAGCGCCGGAAGGAAACTGGCGGTGTTTGCTCGTGACTGACATCACGACCCAGACTCCATGCTGCACGTGAGCAATTTGTCAAATTCTCTGGTTTCAAAGGCTAATGAGGAGAGTCGAAATGAAAACAATAGAAAAATTGATAAACCAACCACAAAATCTTCCATTTCCGATTGGTCCCTTTTGGAATAGCAGATAGAAATTCAGGGCTGGCATTTCGTTTGCATCCAGACATTCAGGGTGATTATAAAGTCTTGCAATCACTTCTGGGAAGAATAACTCCATAATAAATCATCAAAATTACATGAAATTCACAGGGTATACACGTTGAATCATTGAGATGTGAATGGAGTAGCAAAAACGAGTGGCGCTACATTAAGTTACAACTGTTCGAGATGTGCCCCGTCTTGATCAAGAATGGAATTGAGACGCTTCAAATTTCTGGACGAGGCGGTGAACGGTTGACAAGGATCCCACCGTAATTTTCTTAGCCTCCGAAAGTCTCGCAGAACTGCAACAGCGCTTTATTCTGCCTGATAGAAAAGTTTCATTAGAAGCACTTTCTCCTTTGGAGTCATGATGACCAATGCCAACCGACAAGTCAATGGACTCCTTTTATAGTGCGCACAATTAGATACATGATCGCCACGTGGTGGCAAATGTTAGTACTGTAGTCATACTAATCCCCATGACTCCATACTTATACCCTGTAAATCTCATGCAAATCGGATGCACTGTTATGAAATAAGGTTCTCAAAGGTGATTGCAGGACTTTATAAATACCCCGTATATCTTCAGGTCCGATCATCTCACTTAAATTCTTCCTCTTTATAACAATCATACCACACACCTTACAGATCAGTCGCGACTGTCTTTTTGTGCTACCTTCACCTAGTTTTGCGCATACGATCATGAGGTCAAAGAAGTGGGCGATGAATTTCGATATAGAAAGAGATGCCTTGCGCCAGTGTGTCGCAGGAGAATTGAATGTTGCCTCCTCCTTCATTTCAAGAAACGCAGATTTTCCACAGACTGTGTCATTCCTGGACTTCCAATGCGCCAATGATGCCAATGCCAATGATGATCCGAAGAATAAACGCCAGTTACTAAGGGAAAAATCCCCCGTTAACAAGATAAAGTAGGCCCCAGATCTACTTTATCTTTATCTTTTTGCCAGTTTGAGAAGACAGTCTAACTGTCCGCTTAAGTTAGAGGTTTGCGCATGTATTACGATAAAGGAGCTCTAAGTTAGAAGTAGGTTGTACATTCGAAAAAAGACTCTTTAACTTAAACCTCTTTTAAGTTAACGAACGTTTTTGTTGAGGCGAGGTTAAGCATTCCCAAAGGAGCTCTTTAGTTAAAGGCCCCTTTATTTCCCCTAAATGAGGTTTGTGCATTCGGGCTTATATGTAACTTAGACCCATCTCTACCTGCAAAACTCAGTTGTCAAGCGTTAAGAATGTGGATTTATATTGAGATTGAGGGAAATGCAAAATAGGAAACAAAGATGTATATGTCATACATAGTTGATTAAGAGCAGAAGCCAGCAGCTCTAAGGGTGCATGTACTACTTTATAAAGAAAAATTGCACACCTTTCATAACTGATTTCATCCACTGTATGGGAGTGATTTTGTATTCCTAATCAATACAAAGCTCCATCTTGCTACCCAATAAACTGCTATTTGCTAACTACTGTAATTCTCAAAGTAATAGAGGTACTGACAGCAGAAGAACTTGCACTCCTGCTAGAAACATAAGAAGTATTGGTCATTCTCTAGTAAGGAGAGTTAAACTTCCAGTACGAGATGAATAAATTATTTCCTGTATGGCACTTTAGGATAGAGAAGGGGATCATCAGCACTATGAGGTGGAGAAGAGGGTAGTCTTAAGATGAGTATACCAATTATGGCATGCATTCCTCATGGGATGATGATAATCCCTCATGGATGATGGAATACGGGCCCAAAAACATGCCTTCTCTTTCATTTATGGGCTTGCTGCACACTTGGGTGTGCTTCTTTCGTGGCTTCCACCTTCTACTAGGTAGAACACGTGGGGTTTCCAGGAAAAGAGAGAGAAATTTTTGCTGGGTGCGACTTTGATTGCATTGGAACTATTCCAGGAGAACCTTGACCTCAGCTTCATTAACTCGAAAATCTCATATGGATAAGAACAATGCATGTCTCTTGAGTCGCCCTGGGGATTTCTCTCCAGAAATGCCATCCCACAAACTGCCTCTAACCCCTAGCTGAACCTTCGCCGCACATTTATTTTTAATCATTACAGGGAGAGTAAACAGATGCTGGTCTCGGACTCCCCTTTAACTGCGAATAGCGACGATAGCAGCCTTATAAAGTCATCTCTTGACGACAGGCGTTGTCATTTAATATTTCCATTCTATGTATAAAAGCTGAATGGAGCTTATGGACGGACACAAAAGGCCTGTCTTGGCTGGGACGGAAAAAAATAAAGATTTATATGGGGTGGGGTTGACTCTGACCTGCCCAAGCCAAGGATGCCAGATGAGCCTCGTTGGAGACACAACAGCCTCAGTTTCTCCACTGGGTCAGTCTCTGTCTGCAACTTGATTCTTGCCTTGGACATCATCTCGTCCTCGTTCCTACTGTTTGCTGTCTTCGGCCGATTCATCCTGGGTTCTGAACACAAAAAATACCAGAAATGGCACATCCGGAGAATTACTGAATATGTAGTTAACCTGCACGTGAAGTATTCGTCCGTGAACGAGGTCACTTTTTCATATTATCTCAGTCTAAGGCTGTCGTCACATCGAGAATTGAGGAACCTTACGTGTTAATAATAATATTTAAAATAAAAAACTGTCAACATGTCTAAAGTGATGACGAAATGTTTATATTCATTGTTTCCCTCAAGTTTTTGTCAGCTTCACCCTGAAGCGCCGTACACGGTCCGATTTTCCGTCTGAGACGCGTCATACAGGAAATCGGTCATGGGAAGCCCATCCGATCGTGGCACCCGCATACGGTTCGACGGCTCTGACCAGGCAGGCACTGAGAACCAATCGGAAATCGCTGACGTTCCCCATCATGGTGGTCTGCAGTCATGGATGAGGGAGATAAAGGGAAGCTTCCTTTCCTCGTTCGTCTCCAGGAAGAATCGCGCAGGGCATCGTACTGGCCGAGACTTACATCGCTTTTCCGTTGAGTTCGGCAGCTTTTTCAGTCAATTCGAATAGGAACTTAGTCGACTACAAAATCATAGGGTGAATGTGGCGATTATGATGAGCTCAGACTAGATCAAAAAGGTCAAAGGCAATTGAAATTATTGTGAACTCATTTGAAAACACTGTAAAAAATAGTAATCGATACTGCCAGTTTCGAGAGACCCATGACATTGCCCAAGGCACGCCGTGAACAGCCGCTTCTCCATGACATGGCAGGTTTTGATCGGTTCTCCAACGTGCGACATCTGAAGAAGCGTCGCATCCAGTCGCATACTCTCCGCTTTTTCATCTGACGCGTCAGACGGCCGTCGGTCGAGGAAATGCAGATTTCCGTCCGATGACGAGCATCGGGTGGTGCCGCATCGTGATCGTGTCGTGAAAAGTCGGATCGTGTGCGGCGACCTCAAGAAACTCCATTTCGGGTCGCTGCATTTACTTGCGCGGACATAATCTGCCAAAAGGCGAAATATATACGCATGAAGGTACTTTTTCTTTCTCGAAATGTTATCATTCGGAGCCAAGACAAGACAGGGCGGAAAACTGATGTTAGGCTTGCATGCCAGGGTGGCAGCCGAGTCTATGAATAAAAAAAAAGCGACGGCAATACACAGTATACAAGGGCGATCCTTCTCGCTCGCCGTGATAATCGGCGTCAGGCAATCCAGATAATCATCTGTATCGGCATATATGGCGCACGCAATACATGGGTAGCATGACGGTAATGATGATGGTCATGAATCCGGGAATGAATGAAGAGGTCATAATCAGATTAATGAGGGAATGAAGACTCACTGGATAAGACGTGATCGTTGGGTCTCCCAAAACGCCCCGCCGACGAACGAATATCGCGTTCGTACCTGTACAAACAGGGGAAAGAGAGATGAAGCGCCTAGAACATGAGGATGTAGAGGGAAGAACCACTAGAGCAAAGAGATACACAAGAGGGGGCAAGTCAAATTGGTTGCCTAGGTAACACATAATCAGGTGGGCTGCAAAACACAGACGGTTCTTCGTACTCCATCGATCATCTCTTTCATTGGAAAGAACGAGTCGTACGCAACCGCCTTCCCCCACCCCTCCTCACATGTTTTTTCATTTCCTGTGGAATTTCTGTCGAGAGGGGAGATAAAGTCGCGATAACCGGAACGACGAGTATCACTCGACGCGTTTGACGACGTACCGAGAGTACCGGAGTTTTTTGTCCCGACCCATCTCGACTCCCCTTCATTCCGTCGGCGAGCAGAAAGAGAATGCGACATGACATTCCTCCATTTAGGGATTCCATTCTTCTACGTATGAGAAATTCATCGACCTATTGATTCCTCCCGGATGGGGAGAGGCAGTCTTGGGCAGGGTAGACTTGAGTGTGACACGAGACTTTTCTTTCCGCGTGAGCTTTTTTTCCCCCATTCCGTCCGTTCTGGCTGGAGGCGCAGGGTCAGTGTAGTATAAAGGAAGCGAAGACCGAACCTCCCGTGGCACCAGACTGGAACTAACCTTGAGAATCGCATACCTTCTCGAACACGTAATCGCCATTCTCCCGCTCTCGCCACGATAAAAGTGAACCCCCGTATCTGACATCTGGCACGGAGGGCCTTTCTTTTCGCGTCTCGTCCTCGTCGTGACTACCGACCGGTCCTGGCCTTGAAGTCCTCCGTGCCCTATTCTTCCCGGGTCGAGATCGATATTCGATGCACAATTACCATATGGACAACATGGGATTTCTTTCGATAGTACTTATTTTCGCGAAGCTGTCGTTTCCAACAGCTGAAGTAAGATGTCTGCCGTTCGGGGTCTCCCATAAGTTGCCAAAAGTCTCTCGGGGATTCATGCGTGGGTTCAAAGTCGCGAAGCGGCAGGGATGGTGCAAACAGTGTATTTTCGCGCATCGCGAAAGTTTCTTCCACACTCAATCTCTTCGCCGACGCATAAATATTTACAGCAGAAGCGAGTACTGCTGCATGCTCCGAGCACGGAATAAGCCTAAATGCGATCCTGCATGAAGGCTTTCGAGACATGATGGATGGTCTGCGAAGAAGAACGGATCCGAATGATGATGATGGTGCTCCCTCCCCCTCAAAACTCTTTATTAAGGTCAGCGTTGCGTGCTGCCCGGACACGAGAGGGAGACGATTTCAAGGCCGTTTCGCTTGTCCTGAAGAAGTCGGGCTTGGTACTAGCCTACATAGTCGTACTTATCAAAACCCAGGTACGCGAATGAGATCGCAACCGCATTTCGGTGTCAGCTTTGGGAGCTACCAACGACCGGTTGTTTCGAGAAGCGAAAACAGATCCCGAATTCTCGGACGTCAGCATGAGTCATGTGCACGTCAGATTTTTTGTACACGTGTACAGCTCGAACCGCAAAGGTGGAGTCTACATAATGAACACGATGTTGAAAACAACTCCACCCCCCATCTCAAGGGCTACTACTCCAACATCGGTACACATCGCGAAATCGATAATCCGGCAGCACTTTCATTCCGGGATTGGGTTCACATTCTCGCAGGCTTGCGATGGTCTTCGCCGCCTTTGTTCACGCACTTCTACCTGGCACTTCCGCGGGCCGGTAGGCTCGTTCGTAACCGAAGTAACGTCATGACCGTGTACGCGGCCGCCGAAACAGCTCATGTACGACGACCGTACTCTGGCAGATACTGCCAAAAATCCTCAGTCGGGTACATGAAACAAAAAATCGTACAAGACGTTAACACGGGAGGAAGGACACCGTCACGATTCACGCTCACGCATGGGATGGACAGGATTACAATTCTGAGACGGCACGCTCCCTTCCCTCTCACGGTCAGGGAAGGAAAGCGAAAGGAAGGAGGAACGAGAGACCGGATGCGGCGTGAGGGGGGATGGGGACGTAAATAGTGTGAGAGCTCGGCCAACCCCCTCTCGTCTCGGTTACGAGGGCGGACCAACGTTTCAAGAGACAGGGAAAAAAAAGGCCTTCTTCCCTCCCCTTTTTTTTATTTTCTCCCACATCTGGGAAGGAGAGAGAGCATTGACCATGCGATTCCAATTCACATTCCGCATGGCTTCACCTTTTCAGTATGTTTCTACGTCGACACTTTTTCGTCGGTACTCGTGTTCTTTTCCATTCGACATTACGTGCGTGCAGGAGCGCATCCAAGTGTTCCTTCCAAAAACGATCCGAAATTATCCGAACCGACGAATCGCGAATCGCTTGCGACCGAGACACTCATCGCGACAAGCGGACCAAACACTCCTGAATATTGGATCACACGAGTCGATGCGAGATGACGTAGATCGACATCTCCCAGAAATATTGACATAGACAACAGAGAAAGGCGGAAGGCGTAACGAAAGAAAAGATCGTCGATGACGGGGGACTCACATGGTGCCGGTGGTTCGAGGTGAAACGAGGCCGGAGGTGTGGGAGGCTATGCCACTATGCCACGGAATGGCTCAGACTGGACTCTCACTCTCATGTCTCATTGAGCCGGTGTGTTAAAGAGACCTGCCATCGATCCCTCCTTTGCTCTCGCATGATCCCCAGTCCGACGTCCGGCATACACACAGACGCACGCACACACACACCTACTCATCCTCATTTCTTCGCATTAATCCTCAAGGCGTCCTTAATCTTGGATAATGGCGTTTGCATGAAGAGGAAGATCATCACGCCGTTGCCATGGTGATCTCCGGGTCGAATCGATTTCGCAGAAAAAACGGGAAGTTGAGCTAATTTACTGACCCAGATTCCCCCTTCCTCGACCTTGCTGGGCACGAGAATTCCAATAGAAGCAAGACTAGAGAGTGATTGAAACTAGAGGGGAAAACCAAGAGGTGTGACCTCAGGCCGCAAATAAAGGCGATGGCGAGAGCAGTCGTCGAAGGGAGACGTTTCGCGTGCTGACGCAACATCTGCCGTTTCCATGGCCTCTTCAATGATCCTTTGCATGTTCCCGTCGCATTTCCCGTTCCTGGGTTTGGGGGATCTTGCTCCAGATATGAGTCATCAACATGACAAGTCATTTCCTATTCCTGTGCCGGGCTCTCTTCCAGTCGATGACGCTGTTGAGGGGGTGTCCAAGCAATAATATCTTCTCTTGCATATCTGGCTTCCTTCCGCAACATCATCACAGTCCAACACCAAACTCGAACGATGTTCCAGTCCAGAGCACACACACGTTCAATGCACTTTCGATCGTGCAGGCATAGTTCAGGACAGAACGCGTCAGGAAGAGGAGGTAATCATTCGCACAAGGGACGAGACTGCAGGAGAATCTAATATTCACAAAACCAAGAATTTGGCAAGGAAAGAAGCTGTAAGCCAGCTCTTCTCATCGAGGCTTTCCTTTATTTCTATGAGGCAAGCCACATTAACGCCACTCGCAACAGAACGGAGCGGCAATCGCAGAGGTGCACCGACCAGTGGTACGAGGCGATTTTCACCCCCAAGATACCACACGAAGGTCCAGATAAAAACTCCCTCCTGAAACTTTTAAATTAATACAGTTATAAGTAATTTGAGAGCGACTCCCTCCGTGGCGCATAACTCATGGGAAGATTTCCGATTCAGATGTCGAATCTTAAGGTCAACAATACGACAAGAACAATACGACCGCAAGGTGCTTGGAAATGAGGTTAACAAATAAGTTAACGAATACACTGCTTTGTTCCGCATCTTCGTAACGATCTCAAGCTTTATCCTATGCACTATCTTCGCCGAAAACATGTTTGGCTCCATTGGTTCAAAAATAGTCACAAAAACCACAACGGCACAAAGAACAACATCACAGCGTGGTGGGATACTGTAAACCATTCCCACTCACCATAAAAGGGGGAAAAAAAAACCATGACAGTCAGCCATCTGTGCACCATCCTGCCAGCTGCATATTGCGCTGACAGCGTATTTTTCTTAGCTGCGTTTTTTAAGTACCTCGCACGGTCTTTCTTATAATACCAGAACTTCAGATTCGGCAGCTGAAAGGGGAATGTTCACATTAATTAGGTATGACGAGCGGAATTGCAATAGAATCATTTATTGCTTCATAACATTTTTTAGAGGATTTATTTTTGCGTCACCGTGCACATGATTGGTAAAAATTTTCTCCACAATGGATAACTCTTTTTTTTCCTATTGTAAAATTTCATCTTGTTGATCCTAAATTTCCAGAATGCACTCACAGTCAATTTACATGATACGATACGCATTCGCTAGACAAATGGGCAAAATCTCATACTTAACATTGATCATAAGCCGACATACGACATTATTGGCTAATATGCAACGGGTGATTTGAAGATCATAGGAAGGATGATTCCAAGGATAGTTTTCAAAGTGCCAGGGATCATATATCCGCCATTTAACCTCAGGGTGAAAAAATTTAGCCTAAGTGCGTATTCAGCTGCACAAGCATGATTGGTCCAAAATGGAAATCGCTCATCATGCTAAACACAATCGGCATGTGCAAGTATCAACTTATGGATCCATTAAATTAGTAGTTTCAAGAAGGAATGTTTCAGTGTAATGTCATCTCAGAACCCAAAGTAAAATCACTATTAACTGGCCATATTTAAAATAACTTGGGCTGATTCCACCGGCGCAAAATCGTACAAGTGCGCGGCGGGTTCTACCTGTCATCAGCACGCACCAGAAAAATACCTGATGTGGGTGTGGTCCCGTCGTCGGCACCGAGAGGTTTAACTTTCCACTAATATGCAAGGTTCAGCAGCTTTCAAAAAGTTAAAGTGCAATTGTGACAAAATATTAAAACATTGAGAAGGTGGGTGATCTAGCTTCATGAATGCTTGAAATTGACAGCAGACTTTTATAAGATAATGGTAATACCGAATAAATTATTTTTATGAGAACAATTACGTGTCCTTGCAAACACCCTTTTTCATTCAAGCAAACTTAGTTTGCTTATATGACCTTGTTTGAGTGAAAAGAAGCTTCAGGGTATCTAGGAACTAGAACATTAAGAAAGCTGCTTTGAAGCTGTCAGGAAGCACTCCACATAACTTCAAAGAGATTCTCCTTATATTACGGAAACGGTTTCATACAGTTTCACAGATCATATTCTTCATGACAAAGAGACTTTCCACAAAGTGAAGAAAAAACGAGTGAAGATATTAGGCATATTGTATGCCTATTCGTTGCTATTCAAACCCATCCAGCACTATTCCAGTCCTTCAAGTTGGTCTGGATTTTCTTTTTTTTACAAATGAATGCTTGAGTCATGATGCATCTGTCTTAATCAAGACCAGTGCTCGCTTATACAGACTAGCAGATTCCACATGCACAATCCCCTTTTGAAATAGAATTCGGAGGCTATTTCTGGTTGTAGGAAGAAATCATTTGTGTGCAGAAGAACTAGTGGAAGAATAAAACCCGACGGTAGGATTCGTGCAGGGGACATTTATTGAGGAATAGATGAAACAATGCCCTTATTGTTTCCAGAACTGACACCTCTAATAGAATCTCAAGCCACACTTGAGCATGCATATGAAAGAAATAATTCAAAAACCTTACAAATTTGTATAACAAGCCAAACTTGCATCATCATACAGTGAATGTATGAGAATATGAGAGAGTGGCAGAGTGCCCTGGTTCACTTGAAAATGTCACTAGTTCACTTCATGAAAGGTCCAAAGTTTCCAGGATTGCTAGGATTCCATGCATTTCCAGTGCTGTAGATACCCATATGTGGGTTCTGATTCATGGTATTCCCTTGAGGCTGTGCATTGACTCCTGGAGCCATCCCAGACTGGCCAGCAATATTCTTGAATAGTGATCCACTCTGCATGAGGCTTTCAAGAGCCTTCTGGACAGTGGGATTTGAAAAGTTGATGGTTGTTGGATTTCCACTTGCTGGAACTGTGGCTGAGGCTCCTCCAACCTGAGTTTGCCAGTTTGCCACAGCAAGACCTCCCATTTGCATAGGATTGGGAGGAGCAGCAGCTGCTACCATTCCTGGTTTAGCAGCTGCATCTGTGTAATCACCTTTAGATGCCATCTTCTGCTCATGAAGCATGCTTATAATTCGCTGCTTCAAGTCTTCTTTAGGATTTGGCACTCCAATGACTGCAAGGTGGAAGGGATATCCTAAGAATGTTGTCGTATGAAGTTATAAGACTAGACAATCTTTCCAAGCATTTAATGGCATTATGATATGCATAACCTCATTTTGTATTACTTCTATGAGCATTTAGATGCCAGAAGAAAAAAAACATATAGGGTCAAATGAAATTTCGAGATTTTACCCTTGTAGTATAATAGGCCTATTGGCATTGCTGATAATTTCCTCTAGCTGGAAGTCCAAAAATGGTAAGCTCTACGTTCAAAACTTTGGAGTAACTGAATGCTGAAATACTTTCTTATATTGGTGAATCAGTTTTTCCAGAAAGAGCTTCCATGTACCTTCATCATGTTTCATCTCATCAACAGGAGCAGTTGATGTAGGAAAGATGAGCCTCTTCCGTTCTTTGAGGAACTCAATTAGATCCTCATATTCGACGAGTGTGAGAGGTCGCTCATCAAGGAGCAACCGAAGGCTCATTCGAACTCGATCTGGGATTGGCTGTCTTCCAAATACCCGAGATGTGCTTGTGAAGTCATCAAAATTTCGCCCAACCAGTTTTATAGCATCATCCAGGGGCATGTTCCTGTGCTCTGTTCCAAACAAAGCCATAGTCATTCATTGTTCAAGGGATCCAGAGAGAATTCATTACAGGCTACATCTTTAAACAAGAAAAATGTATGGGTAGCACCTGAGACATCTCCCAAGAGCATGGTCATAGAGACTCAACAGAACAGAAATGTTCATCAGAAATTAAAAAGTACTGTTGTTTACTTATCTCAGAGGTGGGGGAAAAAGTTGCACAGTATGATCACAGATCACAGTATGATCATTGTAAAACAAAACTATTACATTATTATTGCAGTCCAGGGTGATGGGATGATTCACCTCTCCATTGAAAGAGTGAAACACTGGAAACAAAAATTGAACCAGGTTTCTGGTTCACTTCTCGTTCAGAATTCTGCAACTGTCAAATTTCTCTACAGGCCAATGCAGGTTATTCATGGTTATAGTATGGTAAAGTTCATGTGTAATTAGTATCAGGCTCATAACTAGGATACTCTTAAACTATGACTGTTGTAGAGAGTAAAGATGTATACATACAACTGACAACCTCTTTTTTTGGCCTCTTTGATCTCAATGTGAATGCCAAGGCAAACCCATAGAGTTCTAGCCACATTTGAGGAGTGCTGCCACCATGCAGTTGTATAGTTATGCTAGGACATACCTTTTGCAGATGCATGGTAAACTTCACATAATTCCTTCACTATGCTCATATGCTTCCTTCCTAGATCTCAGCTGTGCTGAGGCATTGCTTTGCTTCTAGTGTTTCTCCTAGAATCACTTGATGAAGAATGACTTACCCCATCATAAAATGAAGAATGAATGGCACAAACCATGCATTTGTGCAATCCAAGTACTGGGTACTTCATTTTTCCTCCATTATCTTCCAAAAGCAATTTCAACTACATTGGCTGTCACACTGACACCTGGATGGTTATTATCAAGTACAAAAGGTATCTACTCAATCCACTTGGATTACTCATGGCCCATATCACTCGTCTTCACTGGCACTGTCTCCCGTTCAGTTCACATTGTTCCACCATACTTATGAAAATGCATGTCAACTTTGCAAGTGCCTGCATCACTCTTCACCTACCAGTTTGTGTAGGCCTAAGTTTCCTTTGGTGTTTATTTTTTTGCATTTCACTTATTCCCCCCTCCCAATTGTTCCCAGAACTCACCTCAAGGATTTTCCTTAACATTCACAAAGCACTTTGCTCAGTGGTCCTCGTCCAACTTCACCTTTTGCTATTAATACAACAGACCAGTGCATATCATTGTCTTTTATACAGGATGACAGTTTATTGTTGTTAATACCTCCTACAGTTTCAATGGTACCTAGCTCAGCTCATGTCACCACCTTCTCTTGGATCTCAAGCGCCACTACCCTATTGCTCACCTGCTCATTCCAACTTCACCTTCTCTTCCACAACCTATCTTGCTTCTTTTTGCTTCTAGTTCCCTCCTCCAATGAAAGATTATCCAATTTCAGCCATTGCTTTGAATGAAATATTTCCTCTGAGAATGTGACTCTCAATAATAACTGGAGCATTTCAAATTACAAGGGTGGTTCAAGTCATTCGTGGAGTCTATTTTTTGGAGGATCTATATGCCAAGCAATAACTTTCAAACTCTACAGTATGGGTCAAAAGTATTGCAACAAAGGAAAAATTAATTTTATTCTCTTCCAAAGAGTGCTATGAACATGTCTCATTTCCCAATGTAATCTCCTTTCATATTGATTACCATCTGCATTCGCTGAGGCATACTGCTTGCTAGGTTTTTGAGAATGCCTGGGTCCAAGTTGGCCCATGCATTTTTCACTTCTTGAATAAGCTGCTCACGGCTTGTGGCATGCTTCATCTTCTTGACCTCCTCCTTGAGAATCTGCCAGAGATTTTCTATGGGATTTATGTCAGGGCTGTTGCCTGGCCACTTGTCCTTACCCCAGAATGCTGGCAGGTTTTTTTGACACCAGGAAGTGGTGGCTTTGGAGGCATGACAAGGGGCATTGTCATGCATGAAGATGGCCTCTGACCTTTTCTCAACCATGCGACGCTCCAAAATCGATCCTCCCCTTGCCGTCCTGTTAAGGGCATCAAGGCAGGACTTTTGGAGGATGTTCTCCAGATAATAAGTTGTGTTGACGGACTGTTTTGGCAGGATCACGTGGAGCTCTGAGACCGCCTGATGAGAGAACATTCCCCACACCATGATCTTCAGTGGGTGCTTGACTGTGAAGACGGAAGGGACAGAGGCACTGTTTCTGCTCCAGATCCTGTCACACTGTGGGTTGGATGGTGGGAAAAGCTGAAACACTGACTCATCTGACCAAACCACACGTGTCCAGTCTTCAGAAGTCCAGTCCTTGTGTTCCAGGGCAAATTTCAGGCGCTTCTCCTTCATGATGTCCGTGAGGAGGGGTTTCTTGGGCCTCTTGTAGGCCTTGGAACCAAGACCATTTTTAAGATAGCGTTGAACTGTACTGAAGGACCCTTCCTTGCCCAAATTCTTCAACCTGGAGGCCAGTTTCCGGCTGGACATCCCTCTCTTACCCAGACTCTTGCAAATAATCATTTTTGCAGAGGTTGAAAGGACTTTTGGACGCCCTGAGCGAGCCTTTGATTGGAGGCTTTCTCCAGCCTTGTGGCGTTTCCACCAACGATTCACACTTGCTGGGTGAACTCCAAGAATCCTAGCTACCTCCCTCTGGGACTTTTCTGCCTCAACCATTCCAACGGCTTTAGCCCGGACCTCCAACGGCAGCTCGCAGACCTTCATATTGTTAGAGGTTGATACCAAACAAAAGCTGCTTCGTACATAAGCTACGTAGTGGATGCACGCTACTTGCATAGGCTACACCATGCTAACTGGTTTGTCGGAGTATTCCTAAGTTATTTAAATGACTGTAGGAAACACAAATTAAGGGCAACAAACAATGAGCGTAATCCGCTTGTGTTGCAATACTTTTGACCCATACTGTAGCTACTTCTCCATAATCACCCTCTACAGTGCAGCCTTTTTCTCAGTGGTGCACTAGAACTTGAATGCACTTAGCATAGAAAGACCTGTCTCACTGTTTGAACCATTTTGGGATGCACTTTTTACAGCTTTGTCAGATTCAAATCACTGTCCTCCCAGGAGCTCCTTCAGGGTTCAAACAGATGAATATCGCTCAGGGCTGAATCAGGGTTGTAAGGAAGGTGTGTGAGAGACTCCCAGCCAAGGCTGGCCAGTTTTGCTGTGGTTTTTAATGGGCTGTGTTTGGTCAAGCATTCTCCTGCAGAAAGAGCACTCCATGAGAGAGTAGACTGAGGCTTTTTTTGCAATTGGCTGTCAGTACAGCTTGCAGGACCTTCCAGTAGTAGGCAATGTTGATGGTGGAGCCTTTGGGCAAAAGATCCACATGAATAACCTCAGAGTGATCACAGAATACTTAAACCATGATCATACATTGCCCAAGGTCATCCAGCACACTGTTGCCCCCAGTTTTAAAATGTGAACACCATTTAAACACAGCCAATCTTTGAAGTGTTTCTTCACCAAACTGGGGTCTAATTTGCTTGTGAATTTCACTTGGTTTATGCCTTTTCTTTACCAAAAACTTAATCACAATTCTCTGTTCAATAACCGAGTCGAATGACTTTTTTGCCATTTTGACCATCAGACAACACACAAGGTCCACAAAAATGTTTAGCACAGAAATTTGTTTTTTGAGATCACCTGTACCAATCCATATGCATAACTTGTGATTTTCTGATTGATTTTAGCCTCTAAAAGAAAAAGTCCACAAATGACTTGAACCACCCTCATATAATACCAACCATTCTAATTAGCTACCAATCACAGTGGTAAGTTAGAGCAAAAATTTTCTGAATTCACAAGGATCAAGACATGTTGAGCCAACAAAAATTCCTTACAACAAATCGAGGATGAACTATGCTCAAGATGTTTGCTTCTGTGATGCATTTCTGACAATCAAAGGCTTCAGGCTTGGGGAGAAGGGTGAAGCTGGGTTGCTCTGGTTGAGTAGGGAAAGAATATCAGCATGCATGTATACAAAATACTGAGTCAGATTACTGAAGTAAAAATGTTTATCACTCAGTTTCAGACCACATGCAGTTTAGGACTACCTTGAACAGAATCAAATTTGGACAAGAATTTCTTACCTGCTAAGAAACTCACTTGATTTTGACTAGCAAGGACTTAAAAGTGAAGCAAAATTAACAAATAAATCTTTGCCACAGATTTGTTCTAGGAATGGCTTCTTCAAGCGAGATAATACAGGGTGGGTCAAAAAAATGTACCTGATTTCAAAATGAAATTACATACCATACAAGATAGGATTGAATAATAAATTGCATTAAGCAGGCAAAATTAAACATTTTTGTTACTATTTAAACCTTTCTCTTGTTGCAGTTTCAAAATGCCTGTATGACTAAATCAGCATAAGAAAATTTCTGAAATATTTTCACAAACTGGAAAAAATACAGAGGCATACCCATTGGAATAAAGTAGTTGCCTTGACAGATTTTCAGATATGAACATAACACCAGGGGAATGTTACTTTCTCTACACTCAGTACGAGCAAAACTGAGCCCTTCTTCAGAGAGGAAGCAATAAGTAAAACCTCCCAAGTGGTATCTGTGTTGAACCAGGATAGGGGCAAAGAAGGATTAGTCCAAGCAAGACAACCTAATGAGTCTCATGAATGCACATTTTTTTAAAGCCAACTTCCCAAGAATTTTCTATCTAATAGGTATTTAACAGCTTCAATGAATATGAATGCATCTTTTTGCGAACTATGATAATGACCTTCACACATTTTCCAGGGCAATGTTTCATGCTTTCATTACTTTTATAGTGCATCTGCTCGAATCACAGGCTGTCAGATCCATGCAACACCCATATAATGAGGAGGTAATGAGAAGTGGGAAGCATCAATTAAATCGGCTACCTCCAAACCTAAGGGTGACTCTGCCCCTTTTTTGGTGGGGAGGGGGGGCAGGTGGGGGGTAAGAAAAGATGCTGCCTGTCTGTCCTGTATGAGAAAAGGTATTTATAGAATTTTGGGAAGTAAAGGGTTGAAAGGAGTGGAAGCTCCACCACTGGTTTCCTTCTTCACTCCCCCTCTCCCCCTCATTGACCATAAAGTTTTCCCTTTTGTTCCAGAGCCACCTGACATGCTAATGTCTTCCTTTGCTTATCTCTCCTGACCCATGATTTGAATGGATGCACTACAATAGTTTTGAAGCAAGTATCATTGAAGTTTCCATTCAGACTCCTGATGAAACATTTCAAGACTGTAGAAAGAGAAGAGTTGGCTTCATTTGGAAACAAGCACTCTTTGCCTTTCATCATATTTGTTCTTTGTTTCAAGTTCATTGTCGATTCTGGTCTTCTGAATCAAATCAAAGTATATCACCTAGATAATGGTCTTAGCTCATGAATTTTTGTTCATATGACAGGTGTGCTACAGATGTAGGACAGAAATAAGTGTAACTAATACTTGAATCAAGATTTTGGGCTGGATTTCTACATTCTGTACACATTCAACAAACACCTATCTGAGTACTAGGAGCAAAAGACAACTTCTGTTCCTTTGAATTATCCACCTCATCTTTTCCTGGTCTGTGAAAGCAAAGAAACAAGATCTCTACAAGCATAGAAACTAGGGCTGGATTGGCAACCACCAGCACCAATTGCTGATATGGCATCATCTTCACCATCAGCATGTTTTCATACTGCTGATGCCATGGTCAATGCCTCCACTCTTAATTTAAAAAAAAGGAGAGGAAGGCATTTGCATGGCAGCAATCAAATACCATATACTTAATTCTGTTTTTCAAAGAAACGATAGTTGCTTCAGATATCTTCCATGCCAAAAATTTAAGTATTTCATGTTATTGTTAAATCTCTCTCTATTGCTGAGACTTGGATCTAAGGATGGAACCAGGCATGCTTCTATCTGATGCAAAAAGAAGCAGCCTTATTCAGATTTTTATCTCTTTTAGGCAAATAAAATCTATGTATGACATAAGAAGATGCAAACACTTCAGTTGATGCTTGTGTTCAATTGAATGCTGGCATTGAGCATACTGCCCAAGTCCCCTTCTCTGTTCCAAGAATGTACAGACTAGGGCCTAAGATTAGCACTTTCTGACTGAGATAAGTTTTGTGCATCCCTTTGGGAAAATTTTTTATTTTACATGCATTTGATTCAGCTCTTTCCCCACCACACCTCAGTTTCTTTTCCAATGATTCCAATGATGCACTCTTCTGGCCTCCCCCTCCAAGTGCATGAAAAAAATAACATGAAGATTATGCAGTATCAAAAACCTTATATGAGCAGGCATGAAAAGGCTAGGGAAAGTGCAGAATATGAATGAATTGCTAGTCCCTTCCTCCCCTATATTAGCCACAATCAGCATCAAGGCCAATCAATGCACAGCAAGAGACCATGAACAACCATTGGCCCATCAGCCTAAGATCACCATTAGAACAGCTTTAATGGGGATGTTGGTCAACAAGTTCAGCATATTTTGCAATGGAATGCCAAGAGGTGATGTAAAAACAAGTAAAATCTACCACATACACCATATGAAGAGGAAAACAGATATTTCAAGAATGCTCTTTCATTTACTAGAGTTCCATTAATCTAGGTTCACTTCATCTATCTGGAACCAATTGATGGATCTGGGAAACAGTCAATGGATACCTGGATACCCCTTGTTGACTAAAATCCGTAAAGAGGGAACATCATTTTGTCATGGGGTTGGGCATATATCAATACACACAGTAGTAGTAATAAACTAGTAAGGCATAAAGATAGCAAAGTGAACTAGAGTATAACATCCTAAAAATAAGAGCATCACATGGAGCATCAGAGTTGAGGCGGAAGCCAATTGATGGAAGCATGGCTTCAAGTATTAAAAAAATTATATATTTATGAAATAAGGACAGAAAAGAATTGTCAGTACCTTGGGTCTTGCCATGTAGAATCTTTATGGTGATGGACTGATGCCTTTCATTGTCTGGAGTCACAACAGCTGCGTACAAAGTCCCACGGGTAGCAATATCAGCAAGAATAGCTGGAATGGGGGCATTCTCCCGAGGGAACAAAAGGTCCACAATGAGACCAAGGGACTTTAAACGGCGCTCAACCATCTCAGCATAAAATCTATTGGGGTAGAGAGATCTTCTTTAGCAACACATAATCATCAAGGCCAAGTGAGAAGAAGACTGCTTGGCAAAATACCTTTGGTCCTTATGGATGACAATGATCTCACAATCAATCCGCTGCGGAGGAAGAGGAGGGGCTTCTCGGACTGGATAGGAGTCCCGTGAAGAAGGGCCTCTATCAGTACCTCCACTATAAGGATCTCTGGTATCCCTCTCATATGTATTTGGTTCCTCATGCCTACAAACCATATAATAGGAGCAATGAAACTAAGGAACCAATTACCATATCAGTCAAACAAAATAGAACAAGTGTGGCTAAAATACTCCCATCTGGGTTCAGTCAATGAGAATGACATTTTTTTCAAACGACTGAAGAAAAACTTTCCCAAATCAAATATTATTAATTAGGTTTAACACTTTATGAGAATCACTACTCACCTCCCATATTGAGGTCTTGAATCAAATCTTGGAGGAGAACGTCTGCCTCTTCCATAGTCATCCTCAAAGGAAGTACGACCAAATCCTCTGCTGGAAGAAACATATGCATCATTAGTATACTTAAGCTGTGTTGTTTTTTATGTCAATGTTTCTTAAATTATTTTTTCCACTGAAGCCCTCACTTGTTTTTGGCCACCAAAACTCAAAGTCAAATTCACTCTTTGCTGATGATTCCTTCAAGTCAGAGCTCATAACAGCAAATTCAGTCCTTAATCCACTCCCATTTACTTGCAGATATATAGGGTGAGTCAAAAGTCACTGGACGACTTTGAACAGCTATAACTCAGCAAGGAAGGCATTAATTTGCAAATGTATTTTTTTGCACATGAAAGAGCATGCGTTAATTGACAAAACAACATGGAAATTTGCACGAATACCAGTAAGAAATGGGATGAGCCTGCTCAAAAAAAAAAACAACATTTTTCAACATAAAAGTGATATTTAGGGTACAACAAACTCTAAATTCAGATTCACGATTATTTTCTGTTAATTTTAGCTGCTCCAAATGGTTTTCTGATAATACTGATGAATGTTTGGAGGATCATGTCGCCAACGTTAATTTATTCCCTATCTGTGAAGGAAATCTTTCAGAAGTGAAGGGTCATTTTGCTTTGAAACCATGTGGATAGGGAGGGTCAGGCATATCAAGTGGCTTCCCAGGTTGCCAGACCTGACTTCACTTGAATTCTGGCAGTAGGGTTTCATTTAAAGACCAGGTGTATGCCAAAAATTTTCACTTGATCATTGAACTGAAGCAATGCATCACTGAGAAGATTGCTGGAGTTGTCTTTTGGTGATGGTTTGCGTGATCATGCTTGATAGTGCTCAATATATGTATGGCCAGTAATTATAGTAATTTTTATGCTAAATAAAAAACCTTATATTTTTTCAACATTGCATATTTGTTAATTATTGCATGCTCTTTCCTATGCAAAAAACTGTTTGCAAATTAATGCCTTCCTTGCTGAGTTATAGCTGTTCAAAGTCATTCAGTGACTTTTGGCTCACCTTGTGGATGGAAACTTAAATGAGGCTGAGCACATGGCATTACTAATGTCCTTTCTACTAATTAAAGAATGTGTAAGAAAGGAGGTGAAAATGTCTACCATGCAGAAGCAACCATATAATCATACAAATAACCAGTTTGTCATATTAGCTATAAGGCAGAGAGATTGTGCAAATGCTTCTTCTCAATGAACTTCTATTAAAAAACCTCTCCTTCATTATCTTAAATTAATTTATATTGAGCAAACCCTAACAAAAGCCTCAATCTTGAATCCTCACAAACTGTTCCTCTTCATCATTGGCAGAATAAAGCACTTGCTGATTCTCTGCATTTTTACTTTCCTGGTTAGGCAATCTGCTTCCCTCTTAATAGATATTACTTCTACAAGGGCTGTTCCAAAAACCTATATTAGAATGTTCCCCCAGAATTGTGAAAAAGAATGCTGGCAAACCAGTTTCATGGACCCAGTCACAGATTTCAAAGATAAACTATAAGTAATGAGACACATCACTACCAACCTTTACCAAAGTCAAAGGCATGAAATGAACAAGTCCTCCTCTCTTTTCGACATTGGATGAGTCTGGCATACAAGTAATAACCATATGAACATGGTTTTTTCTTGCAGGAAACAATATACAGAGTGAATCAAAAGTCCATTCTCATAGCTGAGTCCTTTTTTTCCAGGTAAGTGGGAGAAATGGCTGATTGAAATAAGTAAACATCACACAAGAAGGTGGAATTAGTTCTTTTCCATGGAGGAGGATTAAGTCAGAGATGTGCATGTGATGAATTCTACCGTAGGCACCAAGACAAACCTAAACTAAGTCAATGTGCTGTAATGTGAGAGAGTTGGACTTCAAATTACACAACAAATGGATTGGGCATTGTGGGACTGGGGAATGGCCACTTCAGTCCCCTGACTTAAGCTAATTTGATTTTTTTTTTTAATGCAGACATTTAAAATCCAGAGCTTACACATCTAGACCCCAAAATCTCAATGAATTGAAAAACAATACTTGTCACAAGCATAGGGACAGACACTTCTCACAAACATACATGTCATTCTTAGGAGACTCCTGTCATAATATATATTACTGCAAATATCTATAGTAGTGATGGTATTTGGTAAATTCATATTATGTAATATCTGACTTGTGTTCCCCCTCCTAGATTGAACACCACCCTAAGTGGTCAAATCACTCCTGTTGGGCTCTCAGTAGACCATCCTTAGATATTTGGATACATGGCAGGTGGTGCAATGCTCAAATGCATGTAGCAATCATATGAATAATGCTCAAACATAGCCTGAATACATGATATATTTGGAGCATCACATGACTGAGTCCAATACAAGGATGACCTTGAAGTGTCCAACAGGAGCAGAGTTATAGCAAAATTTACATCAGTACTAAAACTTGAAAGAAAAGCATATGAAGCATATTTCATGAAAATAAAGATAATTCATATGATTCTTTACTTTTGGTACACCCAGTGAAATGGGGATATACCTATCCAAGATCTTGAGATGAACTTGAACTTGATCTGACAAGTATGGTGCATTTGTCAAAATCAGGAACACATCAAGTGAGAGTCACATATGAGGCTAAACCTTTCATGATGAAATTGGCTTATTAAAGGAAGAAGCTTTTGGGTACAAATCCAAAACCAACTTGGAAGACTATGTTTCTACTTTGTTTTTGTACACAATGCAAGGGAGAAGATAGGAGTTGGGATTCAGTTGGGTAGTCCTAAGTATGATTGGCCATGAAAATGGAATTCCATGCTTTGAGAGTTGCTGACTATGCCCACTGCCATCAATTCATATTCCTAGGAGTCTTGAACTTAAACTAATTTCACCCTTTCAAAAACCTTTGCTGACAATAAAACAGATTTACCATTTCAAACTTGCTCTCTGAGTAACAAATGACAAACTAAACAAATAAATTCCTTCATGTGCTAGTTTCCAGCCAGGCAGCACACAACAAGAGTTACCCTTTGTGATATATAATGTCCAGTTATATAGAGCTGGAGATTCAAGGGGAAAGTCTTTCATTTTTTCATTCTTTCCTATCATCTGGTGACATAAACCATTGGATGTATACTTCTCTAAGAGCATCTGCCTGATAATATGGACTCAAAGGAAACATATTTGAAGTCCTACAAAAATTTTATTTAAAAGCAAAAGGACTTGGCAGTGATACGCACAAAGGCACATGTTTATTAAATATTCATAGCCATAAAGCTTTTCAGAAAAACTGCTCAATGTGTCCACTGTTCAAGTCTTTGCACAACTGCAGCCTTACTGGTAACGATAGTTAAACTCACTGGCAAAACTCCACTGGCAAGCTCTGCTTTGTGGCAATGATAGTGTCTTTCAGTGCTGGAAGAGTCCAAGATTTTGTTGCATGTACAGTGTCTTTGATTGAACCCCATAAAAAGAAGTCGGCTAGAGTGAAGCCCAGAGACCATGCTGGTCAATCAATCGGCCTATGCTGTTTGATCCGCTGATCATGAAATGTTTTGCCGAAGATGTTACAAATGTAGTGAGAGTAATAGGCCAGAGCACCATTTTGAATTAAGATAGACTGCTATCTTGAAAAGCTGAATGGAAAAATCATTCCTACCATGGCATTTCAAATGAATTGAGGAAATGTTCTCAAGACAAGATGGTGCACTGGCTCATTATGCTAACTGCATTCGTGACATCTTGGGCAAAATGTTTTGTGGTCAGTGGATCAGGGGGGATAGGCAGATTGATTGACCAACATGGTTTCTGGGCTTCACTCTAGCTGACTTCTTTTATGGGGTTCAATCAAAGACATTGTGCATACAACAACATCTTGGACTCTTCCAGCACTAAAGGACACTATTGTTGCCACAAAGCAGAGCTTGCCAGTGGAGTTATGCCAGTGAGTTTAACTATCATTACCAGTAAGACTGCAGTTGTGCAAAGACTTGAACAGTGGACACATTGAGCAGTTTTTCTGAAAAACTTTATGGCTATAAATACTTAAACATGTGCTTTTGTGCATATCACTGCCAAGTTCCATTGCTTTTAAATAAAAGTTTTGGAGGAGTTCAAACGTGTTTCTTTACTTCTGGCCCACCCCATATGTTTTACACCTATAACATGTTTCAAGTTAATAAGGGAGAATTTCGGCAAGACACATGTTATGAGTGACTCCAGAGTTCAACATAAAGAGTCCCACTCAAGTCCTCAGATATTTTTTTAAACTGCCTGTCATTAGGGCCTGATTTATTGAATGTATTATCAGACTACAATAATTTGATACAAAGGTCACTACTAGTGTTTTCCAAAATCTGAAGAAGTCTCACAAACTCACTTGTCACCAGGTGGTCCCCACCGACCATCGTCTTGATATCCACTGCCATCCCTCTGTCCATAATCTCTTTCTCTACCAACAGGGTCTTTTGCCATGCGGACCTCTGAGAGGAGGAATGAAAGAGTCACATAGAATAATTTCAATAAATAGGGTAACATGAGTGTGTTTAAAATAAAAAATATCTGTATAAAAAAATTTAAAATGTGGAAAAAACTGAAAATCAAAGATAAGTGCACATGGGATGGGATGCTATAATTATTTCATGATCCTATGATGAAAGTCACATGTTTAAGCCAAGAAATTCTTGTCACAAAAGCAAGAATTATGCTATGTTACATAAAAAAGGCATAAAAACATTGATTTTACTTTTGTGGTGAATATTAGGGCAAAATCTTATTAACCCTTTGACTGTTATAACACAGGGGGGATGGCTGATAAGTTTTCATATAAAAATTGGCCCTGCTAGTTTAAAAACAATAGTTTATGTGAGATAATTTCATATCATGATAACTATTGAAAATAGCTTTTACATGCATAAATAGCTGTGAAGTAACCTAGACACAGTGAATGTTACAACCAAAGGGTTAAGGGAGGGGGTAAGATTCCACATTTAGGCAATTCATACATACTAGTATCTGAACAATATAATTCCCTACATGCTTTCTGTATACTTATTTCCAAAGTACAGGGTGGTCCAGAATTCTGGTCATATATTGTGAAAGTTATTAAACAAGTAGCATAGGAATCAGAGCAATGTAATTTGAAATGTTGGTAGTCCTCATGTAGCCAATACAGAATGTGAGGTATATGCATACTACAAGATGACATCAGCAACTACAATGTTTTGTAAAACCATACATTGCATGCAGTGCCATTTCCAATGGAATTGCTGTGATAATTGCAAAGGATTTGCTGAAGGGCCACCAAGATCACCAGACTTGACAGTCTGTGACTATGGGATATGGGGCTTCCTGACATTTGTAGAGGCCTGTAAATGATCATGCTTTCAGTGTAGTAATTGAAAATTGCATCATAGCAATTCCATGGAAATGGCACTGTATGCAATGTATGATTTTCCAAAATGCTGTAATTGCTACATCACCACAGATGAATGACAGTTGAACACTGATGTCATTTTGCTGCATGTTTGTATCTTATTCATATAACTAACATTCTGCATTGGCTACATGTGGACTACCAACATTTCAAATTACATGGCTTTGATTCTTATGCTACTCAATTAATAACCTTCACAATATGTGACATGAAAGAAACTTTGTTATGTTAGCTGCTGAATTAGAGGCACCTCAAATTTTCAAAGAACAGTGCATATTGTTTTTGTCTCACCCAGTATGTTCCCTGTGTAAATCCTACACCAAATAGTGTACACGCTACATCATATATGGTCATATAAATGATATTATACATCAAACATGTTGTTATAAGTTGCATATAGACCTTATGAATTTTCCGAATGGAAAAAAACCTTAAGTCCTTCATTTTAATCCAGTGCTTGAGATACATCATACACAAAGATATCAGGAACAGTCACCATTCCACTCTGAACCAATTCATGCAGAAAAACAGGGCTGTGTATAGCCTATACCCAAAGTTGCTTAGACTCTGCATATATACAGACAGCTTTGATAGGAAGTTGCACCACTATTATCTCATGAGTCTGTAAAATGCACACTCTCTTTTATTTATAGGCAGCATTATAGATTTTGAGACAATTGAATTTCTCAATAAATCTGACCTATAATGTTGTTTACCTCTTCGCTTGGCTACAACACCTATGCATGGCTGCAGTACCTGGATGAGTATCTAACTGAAAATATGTCAACCCACATGAAAATTCCATGTGACAGGCTGTATGGTTCCATATAGTGATAAATAATCATGTATTTTCTACACAAGCTCTTTTGCTTTCCCATATGCTGCTGCATATATATTTGTGCATCATGTATATAAACAAATGAAAAACAGGCACAGTCTGACTCAAAACATGATGCTTGTGATGGATATGAAATCCTCAATTACAAATTTAAGGGGTTTTCCTAGTTGGTGACAAAGAAATATCTACTTTAACACATTTTGATGGAGATAACAGTCTAATGACCATTTGTGTGACTGGCCTTAGTACAGTCTGTCTAGGCTTATTTAGAGCGAGACATCTCCATTGGCTAATGGTTCATTAGGAATCAACCATGTTTCACTGACATGCTTATGATTTTCATATGAGGTTATGTCCAATATGCACATCTCCATGATGAGCAGAGAAAATAAAAACTTCCTACATGTTTAGACCAAAGAGTTTAGACTTCCCTTTTTGTTAAATAGTTCATCTCTTCTGAACAGTGAATTCACCCTTCCAGCTTCTATTTTCAATACATATGAAGCAACTGGTCTTCAAGGTTCATGGAAGTGGAAATCAATAAGAAAGCAAAAAAAGGGAATAATAGAAGGGCTGGAAGGAAAAGTGGTCTATCTGCTAAAAAATGTCAGAAAAATTATAGCAAGTGTTTCACAGAACCCTTATCCTTTCATTGAAATTGGTAGTTTTTTTGGGAAGTATATAAAGAAGAAACTGGTCCATATATGAATACCACTTTTTCCCACTTTTAAGGAGACAGAAGCTGGAATATTCAGTCTTTCTGTGAGAAGGTCAAGGAAAGAATTGTTATACCGATAGATCACTTTTCCTTTCAGTCCTTCAATTGCCAATTATTGTCAGCAGTTCCAGGAAATTTCCACAGTCACATTGGCTTAAACAGTTCTGACAGTTATTCTTACCTAACCATAGGTTGTATACTAGTTTTGAAAGAGGTCACCTAGAAGTACATCCTTTCATGTCCATACATTAGCAGTTTTTCATACAATGGCATGAAAGTAACATCAATAGAGAGCTCATGACCTGATTAAACACACAGTGACACTCTAACTATTGCAAGTCATGCTGATGAGCATATGTCATAGAGTTTTCTGAGACCAATTCCTCTTCTTGTCCTTTACAGTGCTCATTGTAATAGGCCATCCAAGAAGAAGGGTATTTCTCCCATGGGTAAAACATTCTGCTCTATTTAAAAAGGACACAAAATTTTCAAGAAATTTCTTCACATTGATGCCAACTCGTAGGATTCCATCTGATGTTCAAAGGTTGGTTTTTTTTTCCCTCTTTTCTCTTTTCTCAAAAGGTCTATTGCCTGTTACTTTGCTGCAATGGTTCATTTCCTTTCCCAATGCCATCTGCAAGCAAGTCACAAGAGGCACACCAAACAAACAAAATTAAAGAAATTATATGTTTAGTTAGTGCTATAAATACAAATTCAAGGCATACCAATATTAAATCTGAGCATTGCAGTTGACTGGAGCCACTAAAAGATTTGTGCCATTGGACTTTCTGAATCAATCTGCTGCTAATGGTCTCTGTGGTTATCAGTTGAATGCAGGAGGGTTCATTTAGACTGGCCAGTTGTTAAAGCATATCCCTTACCAATTTTTCGCCCCATGAAGAAATTCCCTTCCTCTTGTGCCACAGCATCAAATGCACTCTTCTCATTGTTGAAGGTCACATAAGCAAAATTTCTGAATATTGTGACACCTGAAAAAAAAAAAACCCTCAGGTCCAAACATGGGGCTAAACTGGCTCTCATGCGCCACAAGTACATGAAAATTTCCTGCTCTCACAGTATAAGGCTACCGAATTTATTATGTTTAATTTTTGTTTCCATAGGTTATTCCTTGAGTGTCCAGGGCATTTCAAAACTCTGCTGAAGAAGACTACGAAAACACACCTGGAGAGTAAAAAAATGCATTCATGACTAGCACATGTTGAAATCTCATTTAACCCTGGAACTGCCAGAAGCATCACGGCAGCCAACCAACATCGATTTGATTGACAGTCAGCAGTTTCAGAGTTAACTCTGAAGAGGGAGCTCTATTATCATCATGTCTGATGTCATGGTGCCAAATTAGCACTACTTAGTCATACCATCAAATCTAAAGAAAGTATTTTAATTTGTCAAAATTAAACTATCAATAGAATGGTGCAAGCTGTGTGTACATAGGTCTGCTCAATGTTTTGCCAATCTACTTCTACAAAATTTTGAAACACCTTGTTGGCACAGTTCAATGATACAAGTTCAAGTATGTAAATTAGAATAACAAGCAAGCAGGCAACCACAAGCCTAAATTCCATAGGAAGGTAGGACAATTACCTGTGACATTGCCATACTTGGTGAATCTTTCCTCAAGAGCTTCACGGGGAACATCAGCAGTGAGGTTTCCCACATGAACCTCAAATGACCCCTTTCCTCCTCTGAGAGGGCTTCTATCCCGCACTGGAGGGCCTCCTGATCTTTCTCTTTCATTGTCATAGTCTGCTCCACCACTATCATAATGGTCTCTTCCATGATCAAATCCTCCTCTTCCCCGACCTCTAAAACCACCTCGTCCTCCTCTTTCAAACCCTCGTCCTCCTCCATGATCAAATCCTCTCCCACCACCTCTTTCAAATCCTCTACCTCCTCTGTAGCTCATGGTTCTCCAAACATTCAGATACCTTGTCCTTCCAGGAGTAATGAGAGATACATGATTACTAAAATGGAGTTAGATGATAATAGACCTACTTTATATACTTAAGAAAAGAAGGCCTGAATCAATGTAATACAGCAAGTAAAGTTATGGTCTGGGACACATCTGAGTGAATTGAGATGGAAAAGACAAGACTAAAAAAAGGTAAAAACAAAGAATACTGCATGCTCCTTGCAGGTGAAAGCACTTGTTGAGACCATTAATGTCTTCATTAACTGAAGGTAATAACAGAAACTATGTACAAACCAGGGAAGTTATTTTGCCAATAGGACGTATATACATTAGTCACCAGTAGTGGTAGTAAATATGTCTAGTTCCCCCACCTAATGGGGTCACTGGAGATCAATCAGCTAATTAAGAGTAAATCCCACTAGTGCAGATGACAATCTACCCTATTAGCTGGACATGACATTGTAGAGAGCCTGTCACTAGTTCAATTTTGAAACAACATGCTCGGAACTTCTAGGAAATTTGGCTACCATGGAGACTTCAGATCTGATAACAGGTTGATAGTAAAAGGTACCCTACATATCCTTCAATGAAGGGGGGGGATGTTAAATTTTAATATTCAATATGATATTAAATGCTAGGCAAATTCCACAGTGTCAGAAAGCAGTGAATATAAGTCTTATTTCTCAATATGATATGAGTTCCTGAAAAGGATAGCATATTTTAAACTCCTAACCATTTTTGTTTCCTCATTTTTGCACTTTTTTTTTTACCTTGGTCCCCTATAGATATGCCTCAAACTTCTCTACCTTCAGCACTACTGTGCTAAACATCCTATACCATCACATAATCAAATAGCTCCCACATGCACATGAGGAGCGGAGTATTCAATAATAAAGGATACAGTACTTTGTTTACTTTGAAGAATATCTTTCTCATCCTAAATTAATATTGGAAGTTATTTTTATTCATTTTCATTCATTGCTACCTCATGTTGAACTCAAACCCCTCCAGAACTGGGTTTCTATTCCCCCAATGTCATTGACTCTCACTGACTCCTCTTAATGAGATGTCTCTTCTAGATTGTCATCATCCACCACAAACAACTGCATCTAAGACTACACTTGTTATCTGGTTGGTGAGAAGTAGTAGCATTAATAATTGCAAAAAATAAAATAAAATAAAAAACGGGATTTAATTTCTTTAAGAAGCAGAACATTGTTGCAGAAGTAGGAAGACACAAGGGGCATAATGACCTTATAAATGGCTTAAAGAACTAGCCCCATAAGTCTTTGAATTCAAATGCAAGAATGTCAGCTACCTTGAAGTGGGCATTGAATAAATTATTGCAAATCATCAACGCAGTGGAAGAAATAGGAAATACACCTTTCAAAAAGAGAAACTTTAGAGTTACTGGTAAAAATCAAAAGGAAATTATCAGGGCATTTGAACACCCCATGTAATTTCATTTATAACTAGCTTATATTCAGCCCATTTTACAGAGAAACAGTCTAAACTCAGTTGCATTAAGTTGTCCCTCTAGGTTAGAAAAACAAAAAGGAATTCATTGCTCCAGCACTTCACACCTCGCCTCTCAAAGAATAACAATTCAATATGACAAATACATGAACTGGAATTGATTTCCTTAGGATGATTGAATAGAGGACATACAAAAGGGAGGTGCATGAAAAAAGAAACTGGAATATGAACTCTGACATTTCATGCTACTTGAGGGGATATGCAATATTTTAAATTCAAGAACCCTTCTCCAGGGAATGCATACTTGATTGAATAAAGTTTCAATATTGTCAAGTTAAATCTCTTGCATCTGATGTCCAAGCCAAGATACGAAATTATTAGTCAAGCAATGCATTTGTAAATAGACTGGTAAGAGATTGCAGAAGCACCAGGCTATTTTCAAGGCAGCTTGAGCTCCTCCTATGTCTTGAGAAAACCCACCCCATCTCCCATAACTAACTTTTTCAGGACCATAGCGTTCTGGTTTGATTCACGTCTGAAACCATTGGGGTGCTAAATCTCGCTCTCAGAGGAGGGGCAAATGATTAGAATAAGACCTACAGGTCTCTAGATATAAATGGATCCGTAGCAATCCAGAATATAAACGGAAGAGGACAGAAGCCTCCGACACCTGACCTCCCCTTGTGGCCTCGGTGAATTAAAACTAAAGCTGGGTATAATTACACGTGCAATTAAAGGTTCATGTATATATAACTAATAAATAACGCTTTTATATTAAGTGAATTCAAGCGGAGTTAAACATGCCATTTCCCAAAACCAGTACACCAAAGGGTAAAAATGGTAATAAATAAATAAACTGATGAAGCAAAACACAGAAGTTCAATATCTTTAGTATATTGCTCAGATGCCGAGCGCCATATTGATTCGGCCATGGGGAGAACTAGTGGTGTCCAAGTTCTCATCTTTCGAGTGCATTCATATCATATAGAGGCTATTGTCAGTAGGTTTTTTTACATCGTCGATCAGTGGAATCAAAAGCTCTTAATAGAATAAGTAGCGTCGCTACCTGTATTTTCAACATCGTGCCAAATCTGTTCCATTTTACCATGGGTGATTGCCTTTTTTCTGTGAATCAGTGACTTTTCTCTGCCTATCCTTCCACCTCGTCCAGCAGATGTCGCATTGTGGCAGGAAAAAGCAAGGTAAATGGGAAAGTGTCAAAGGAAAGTGGGGAAGAGAAGAGCTTCCTGTCCTTGTAGCTTCTGAGTCATTATGGATGGAAGCGCTGGAAGGGACTATTTCAACCATCTGATCGCAGCAGATCTCATATAATCAGTTCATTCCGGAGTCAGCCTGCGTCAGCCGAGCATCCTGCTTAGGCGTGTCTCAACATGTAGGCCTAGGTGCACTGTGGATTTGAAGTCGTAGGCCTTGCAATGATTTTGTTAAGTCTTTAGCAAGTGGCAGTTTCAGCCGAGTTTAAGTTGTTTCAGATTATTTCCAGGTAGGCTTGTGAGGCTTCGTTTGCCAATAGGTCCTGTCCAGTAAGAGGATATTAAATGACTGTTGAGCCTACCGTTAGAAGTTTTTTGCAATGAAACTGAAGCTTTGCATTAAGGTAGGTCTCCTATGTAGTTACATGTCATCTACATCTGCACTTGAGGCCCTTGAAAGTTTCATCTGTTGACAAAGGCACATAAGGTTAATGTGCAACTCACGAGGTAGGTTGTCCCTGTTTAATGAGACAAAACTTTGCCAGTCACCATCAAAGACATCTATTTTCTCATGAGAAGAGCAAAAATGGTGTATTGCTAGTGGAAGTACCCTGGGCTTAGAAGTTTTTGAACCCCTTTTATATATAGGCTAGGCTTAAGGTTGAGACTTGACCTGTCAGTTTTAGATACCCTTTATCTTTGCCCTTCTTTTATGCCATTTGTCTTGACTGACTTACTTTGCATTTGTGTGTGTATTTTTGTAGGCACAAGGTTAGGAGCCTTCAAAAGGGGTTGAGTGCATTAGAAGTCCTCTTTGGGAAGTGAGCTACTTGTGTCCTAGCTACTTCCTCCACAGAAAACATTGAAGGCCTTGCACGTGGTTGAGGCCTGGACACCTGTTCAAAAGAGTGTGTGATTTGAAATATTTAGCTGCTTCTAGCTCAGGATCAGCAGACTTTGGAGTCATATTTCATCTCTTGGACTATATCCAGGCCAAAATAAGGATCAGTAATTTTTTTTTCACTCTCTAAGGCCAATTGGATATATGTGAGTTCTAAAGAAGTAGGTGCCATTTTTGTGATTGTGCCAAGAGAATTCGGATTGTCTGATAATTGTTTGGGTCACGACGGAAGGCTTGGGAGGCCAGGGGAGTGCTTCTCGCAGCTCTGGAGGAGGGTAAGTTGGGTGAAAAAAGGCCTGTATAATGGCTTCTTAGATCTATTAGATTCAGCTGACCTCAAAACTGTTTTAGGGATAGATCGAGTTCCCCATCAGTAACCAGCAAACGTTGGGTTCCTCCGTCCAGCTTCAGACGAGATGCGCTCACCCCAGAGGAAAGGCATGACATCGTTTTTCGAAAAGTTCGAGGGCTCCTCAACAAGCTCACTCCAGAGAAATTTGAGAAATTGAGCAGTGATATCCTTCATGTTGGGCTTGATTCACCATTGATCCTGAAGGGCGTCATCCTTCTGGTGAGGTTTTTTTATTCTAGCAGCTCTCAGTGCATTACAGTTTGCTCTTACATTCCTTTGGCTAAGTTGATGATTGTTGTCCTTTACAGATATTCGAAAAAGCCCTTGATGAGCCGAAGTACAGTTCTATGTATGCACAGCTTTGCAAGCTGCTATCAGAAAAAGCTCCAAACTTTGATCCGCCTGACAAACCCTGCACATTCCGGCGTTTGCTTCTGAAAAAGTGTCAAGATGAATTTGAGAATCGCAGTCGACCTGTCTCTCTTAACTGCAATGAACGACTTGGAGAAGAGGAGGAGGAGGAGGACTCTCGTGGTGCTGCAAAGCGTAAAATGCTTGGCAATATCAAAGTAAGAGCTCTTCATACTTGAAATATTTACTGCATTTCAGTTAGCTTGCATTGACTGCATAGTTTATTATCTGGTTTTTTGCTCTTATTTATATTTAGTTTCATGAATTTTAGGCCTCCATTCCTCTCTGATTGTTTCACTCCACACCTTGTAGTTTATTGGAGAACTGGGAAAACTTGACATGGTCAGTGAGGCCATCCTCCATAAATGCATCCAGGAGTTGTTGGAAAAGAAGAAGAAAGGCATCAAAGAGGAAGATTTGGAATGTCTCTGTCAGATAATGAAAACTTGTGGTCGAGTCCTTGATAGGGACAAGGCCAAGGTGAGTGCTTTGGCTCTTCCTATGTCATCTATCAGGAACAGGATACAATTTTTAGTAGCAGCACTCCTTGGAGGCACTGCCTAGTACTGAAAAACCATTTACTATCCCATGCAGGCATTGGTGGACCAGTATTTCACTCGTATCTCAGCTCTGGCAAATAATGCCGAGTGTGAATCCCGCATTCGCTTCCTGCTTCAAGACGTCTTGGAGTTGCGACAAAACAACTGGGTACCACGTGGTGTGGCAGCTGCAGCTGAACGGCCCCCAACAACAATTCAGGCCATCAGACAAGAGGCTGCAGTGGACACAGGGATTCTTATCCCGCCATTCCACTCTGGTAGCTCCTTACATCACCCCCTTCAACACCTGGGGATAGGAAATGCCCCCTTTCTCTTTTCACATCCACGCTCTGGCTTGGAGGATGTATTTGGACCACCGACATCATTGCATCTAGGCACTGGTCCAGGTGTTATCAACACAGACTTCTCCTTCAGGTGAGCATTGGAATCTGTGCTTTGTGGTTCACTGGCTTCAAATTGTGCCTGTGTTAGAAATGCTGATATTGATACACTTCTCCAGATGATTAATTCTACTCATATTTTACATCTTGCTTTTACAGCAATGGGTATGGTCCTATGACGGGCTCCTCACGGTCCAAAGTTGGATTTGGATCGGGTGGTGGTGGCATTTTCCACAGTTCTCAACAGAAATCTTCTCTAATTCAGTCTTCCAACATTCCAACCCATGGCAACTTCTCTTCCACTGGTGCGTTTGTTCTCGGATGAGTTGTCTGCAGACTGCAGTGTCATACATTGATGTTTGCTGGAAGGATGTGCTTGGTCTCTTATTTCTAGCCAATAACAAGAATTTGCCACCCCGACTCCAGAAGTTGGCAGCCCAGAAGCATGGAATCATCCCAAACACATCCTCAAATGGCACAACAGCTCCATCTCCACCCCCAATGAGCTTCTCTAATGAGGGATCCAAAGAAGATGTCTCCCTTCGCCCATCGGCTCTCTCCATGACATTGAAACCGATGCGGCCTCCCACTACTAGATCTCCTCCAACTATGGATCTCCCATTGATCCCTGGAGGACCTCATCCTCCAGTTCCTAATCAACTGCCAGTTGCTCCTGCTCCACCTCCTGCTATCCAGATTCGCACTGCTTCCAATGATAAGTCCAAGATTTCCAAGAAGGAACAAGGACCTACCAAAGAACAGCTCTTGAATTCATTGACTAACCTGGTCAAAGACTTCACTGGGAATATTTCCAGTCTGGAAGAAGCAGTAGCATCCTGGAAGCAGTTGAAGGTTCCTGAAAAATATCATGCTGAAGCTGTGAAGAAAATGATGTCTTTCAGCCTTGATGCAGAATCTACAGCTCAATGTGAGTAACTAGACTTATGCCTTTTGTCCTATAATTGGTCTTGTTTGGCACAATCATTCCTCATGGTCATTTGGCATTTGGATATGTTACAGGTTTGGTGCTAGACTTGCTGCAAGCATTGAAAGACGAACTCCAGGTTTCGACAACACTTGAGGGCCTACGTTTGGCTCTGGACAATCAGACAGATTTGTCATCAAAATGGGGACCAATCATTGGGGAAGCTATCCAAAGAGATCTTGTGTCTCTGGCAGATGCAGCTTCTCTTCTTCTCTCTCCCTCTGAAGAGAAACTAAATGAAGAAGTTCCGATTCTCATTGTTCTTGCACACCTCATGAATACACAAGGCAAGGACTGGGTATTGGACAGATACAACCAGAGTGAGGTCAGTTGAGCCTTACACTATTGTTAGTCTCATGGAACAGCCAGAAGTGAAATATGAAGTCATGCAAAAGATTATTTATTTATTCTTAAGGTGAATCTGCTGAAGCATTTGCCCATTGGGCAGAGGACTGATGAGCATTTGGCCAAGCGTCTTGAGGAGAAAGGATTGATTTTCCTCCAGCCATTGCTCCGCATCCAAGGGGACCTCACACGTGCTCTGCAGACTGATCCCTCCCCAAGTTCCCTTTACAAATGGATCAAGGAAAACATAGACTCATCTGCATTCACTTCCCATACCTTTATTTTTGGCCTTGTCTCAGCCATTGTGAAGTTCATCGCCAAGGTCAGTACCATGCCTGTGAATTACTAAGGTAGCTCAACCTTAAGGCACTTGATACATTGAGCATATTATTTCAATATATAATTCATTCCTTTTAATATCTCCATTTTAATTCACATCCATCCAGTTACTGAAGTGTGCTTGTGAGGGAAGAGAAAAGAATATTCTAATAGCTTTGCATTTACTTAGGAGGGAGGTGGATCGGTGGAGAAGGAGAAGGACACACTAGCAAAATTTGCTCCAGTGTTCAATGCCTTCCTACATGAACATAATAGGCTTCAGGTCACTGCAATATATGCTGTCCAGGTGTTTGCCCATGACCAAGACTTCCCCAAGGGTTGGTTACTTGCATTTCCATGGTGCTGTTTTTCAAGAATTTTGAAGCAAGTCTCCTCACCCTCGTTTTTATCTTCATTCCTATAGGCTTACTGCTGCGCTGGTTTGTAAACTTATATAACTTGGAGATCGTTGAGGAAGATGCTTTCATGCGCTGGAAGGAAGATATGCCAACCCAGGAGTTTCCTGGAAAGGGAAAAGCTCTCTTCCAGGTTGGTTCTATTTTTTTCTTTCAAATTAGGATATACTGCTTGGCTTTCAGAAATTGATGAAATTACAGCTTAACTCAGGTGCTTTAGATTGGCCAACAGGGTTCTGAGTGAGACCTCCAGTCAAACATATTGGGAGCAAGTTATGGGCTAGGCCTAAGTGCTTGAGTGCATTCTCCCAGATGAGATTTTAGAAAATGCTTTTGTGTCCTAGACTGAATTCCTGGGATCCTGGGGCACACTCTGGAGTCAACTGTTCTGTGATGTGATGAAGTTGTTTGCATTAGTGCTCTATGGAATGCATCTGCAAAGTCAATCTCACATGTCTTGATCCATAGTTTTTGCTATCTATGTGAACCAATTTATGCGAAGGCACTGACAACTGAATATGACCAAGGCAAATGAGAAATGAGAAAGTGCGGCATTGTGCCTTGATTAACCAACACAAGGGCATATCTAGGGGATTATGCTGGGCAATGCAGGTTTGCCCAAGGTAGGGGGGTTAGTAGAGTTATTTATTTTAGTTTTCACTAACCATACTACAAAATATACTCACTGTGGGGAGTAGAAAATTTGCAAACCAAGTTTAGGCTTGTTCTTGTTCAATCCCTCCTTCCTGTGGACCTATTGTTAAACTACAGGGTGTCCATAAAGTGACTACCCATGGGCAACTTTTTTCATGTAGAATCTGGGGGTTGCCCTTTTCTTATATAGCCTGTTTATCAATACACCTTGGAATGGTGTCACATCTTTTGTTCCTCCACTCTAGTGTGACTGAGACTTCATTTACCAGACCCTTGTTTCAACTACAGGTTCAGAAAGTACAGGTACAGAGTTCTGAAACTAGTGAGAGAAAGGCTTTTTAAGGATGAGCCCACATATCTAAACAACTTGAAAGTGAATATCTCTTGTGCTATGTGCCAAATNACCAGACCCTTGTTTCAACTACAGGTTCAGAAAGTACAGGTACAGAGTTCTGAAACTAGTGAGAGAAAGGCTTTTTAAGGATGAGCCCACATATCTAAACAACTTGAAAGTGAATATCTCTTGTGCTATGTGCCAAATAAGTGAGGGAATTCTCACAGATATTGATGATGCAATTGCCAGGGCTGAGAAATGTCAGGAAATCAGCAGTTGACACATTGAACCATTTTGTTAAATAAACTAACTTTCAAGATTTTGAATTTCCAAAATATGCCATTATTCAATCAATGCCACAATAAGTACTACTTTAACCTTATTGCTAATGCAATAAGGTTAAAGGCATATTGTTCTTTGAATTTTAGCCTCAATCTTTTTCTTTCCAAATGAAAAAAAAACTCTATATCTGGGAAATTAATTATTAGCCTAAGTGATAGGAGGAAAGATATGACTCTACTCAAAGGTCAGTATGCCTTCAGTCAACAAGCATTTAAAAAAAAATGGCTACTTCAGTTTCATTATATATTAAAAAAAATTGACCTGCAGGTACGTTATGGACACCCTGTATATTGCAGGTAATCAGATCTCAATGACTTATCATGTGATATTGTAATACAAGGTAGCTTACAAGTGGACAAGGTAGTTGGATGAATACATGTACATTGGTTTAATGGGAGCACCTTGAGAACTCAGAAATGTTCAAAGAAGTTTATCATTCTGTGCTTTTTTTTTTTTCCTGTCCATCTTTCCATCCCTCCCTTCAGGATTTTAGGCTTCCAATGGCTGGGTCCACTGCTCTTGTCCCATTGCTGTATCAGCACATAGTAAATCTGAGCAAGGCAGATAGTAGGTGTTGCAGGCATAATATTCCATAACTTCATCCATGCCATAAAGCTTTTCCAGCAACTTTTCTTTGCGTATTGACTTGCAAGGAAACTTTCTTTATGAGGATGCTTTTGAAAGTTTTATATGTGAGAGTTAATGCCATTGAAGAAAAGTTTGTCTTTTTTTTTCTATTCTTTCACTGTCAATGAAAAAAAATTTTCTGGTGTTGAGAAGCCCCAAATTAAAAAAAAAAATTGAGTTTCAGATCTGGTCATATGGACCTTTTTCATTTTCATCTCTTTTTTTGAGGCTGATAAAAGGAGGCCCAACAATATGGGTAAAGGTGTATTGTTCATGTAATGAATCTGTAGAACAGAGCATGTAAAATTTGTTCCAATATAGCTAATAATTGCTTTTTCCACAGGTGAACTCGATTTTTGCCTTATATGTTTATTGGTTAAAGCAATATCATCAGTGAAGTCTGTTGACTCTAACTAGCATTTGCTGATTTAAAAATGCTACAAAAATAAGGGGTGTTGTGATTAAAATCCAAAATGTCAGAAACAAAGCCTGTTGGTCTGTCAATCACCTACGTCTGGTTTTCTTTTATTGCCAAACAATTATTTTAACATTTTAAATTACATGTATGCTATAACTATATTTCTTACCAATTAAACAAAAAGACACTTCTTTCATTTTTATAATGCCTGATAGTGTTGAGCTCATAAGGAAATGCTGAAATTAAGTTAGTCAAATTGCATGGTCAAGAGTAATTTATTTGTGCTGTCTTGGTGGTTAATTTTTAGAATGTCGGGAAAAGGGCATTTAGACAATAAAAATGAGACTAAAATGAAGCTTCTCTCTTAATATACCGAAAATTATCCCTGGAACACTTCCAAAGTCTTTGGTGGTGGAGGACTTTATGCTTAAACTTAAACTTAAAATGAATCCCATTACGCTTCTGCCTGGTTTTCCTCAAAATCAGGGACGGTCGAGCTTACCCTCGCTAATTTAGGGTCCAATGGGCCACTTAATATCCTGACCATCTGAACACACTACTTGTCTGACATTTTCCAATATTTCACGCAGGAGCATGAGATATGCTGAAAGAACATGGTGCACCCTGGCTTACATCATCAATTGGGTTCGCAACAGCGAGAGCTCAATATCCAAGCTTCCCCGTTTTGGGGCGTTAGAAGATAATGGGTGACATGCGTTAGATGAAGCTCAGACCAAATATGTACCAACGGGTTTCCTTTGATAGAATTGCGTGATAGAGTCACGGTACATTTCGTAGTACATGCGAAAGCATGCGTGGATTATGGTCGACCCGGTGGATGCATGCCTGCTTCACCAATGCCGCCACCTTTCGTATCTAATTGGGTTCACCTCCTCCCGGCTGCACAGCGCTGGAAGATCTCAATTCACAGCTTGACAGTTATACTTATCCGTTTGAACAAAAAAAAAAGTTTCCTGCGAACCAATTAGGCAAGGGTGGCATTCAGGGACGCCTTTAAAAGAGCATCAGCTGGGCTGTTGCTCGCTTAAGAAAATAGAAGTATTTAGGAAGAGGGTCTCGGAGGAAAACCCATATTTCTCAATGGGGCTCTGGAAAAGTGATGAAATGCGTCAGACTGAACCTCCCGTAAATGGGGTTACTGGGGATTCACCATATGTTCTACATGCGTAGCGAGAAAAGTCTGTAATTACTCTCGAGACTTTCCCAATCTTCTATGGTTCACGAATCCGCGGAGCATGTCCTTGATTCGTCATTGGTCTTGAGCAACCCTGACTTCACGCCGAGCTCTGGGGAATCCTCCATTGGCGAGATTTTCAAAATTCCAAATCGAGGAGTCGAGTTGGAATTTTGAAGTACTTTAGTTGCACCTTCGCCAAATATGCTGTCTAAAAGCCAAGAATCCCATACTTGTACTGCACATAAATTGGCGACTAGAGAGGTAAAGAGCAGTCAAGATATGGAAGCACGTTGAGAGTTAATGGATTATGCGCGATTCTTAGGGTGCCTACACACCGGATCAATCTAGTCTAATCTAGTCACGATTAGGCAAGTCCAAACGTCTAAAGCTGCATAACTCAGCATGCTATGACTGATATCTCCTTCACACTGAATAAGTCTAGTCGCTTGATTAGAGTGGACTGATATGGTGTGAAGGGGATATCAGTCATTGCATGTTGAGCTATGAGGATCTAAACGTTTCGACTTGACTAATCGCGACTAGACTTAGATCGATCCGGTGTGGAAGCACCCTTACATTCCTAGGTTCTTGCTACTCGTTATAAGACATAGGGTGGATTTTTGAACAGAGCATTATCAGATAATGCAGCTTTATTTCGGAGAAAATGCATTATAAATCCGGTAAATAAAGCTGCATTATCGGATAGTGCTCCGTTCAAAAATCCACCCTAAAGCATTTCTTCTTTCCTCGGATGCCAGGGGCAGGACCCCTGGTGGCATCGTAAATCGTCGTTTTATCATCGGGAGCGATGCGCAAGCGATGCACGCTGTCGACTGCCGCATCAGAACGCCTTTCGAAATGCAGCGGCACGGTGAGTCCTAGCACGTCGCAGTTCTCGCCTTCCCCTTTCCGCCGATGCATACGGTCGATGAATTCGCCCGTATCTCGAGCGTTTGACGACCCGGAACCGCAATGCAGCAGGGTGCCTCCGTCGCCCCGAGGTCCCGATCCTCCCGGGATCCAAACGTCGCTTTCCGGTGACCTATGGCTGCTACTCGGCTCGGCAATGTGCCCGATGAAACGCCCGCGGGCGAACGGGGATCGAAGTTGAGTTCGCCCGAGAAGCGTCCCCAAATGTCCCAAAAAAGAAGCGTTCCCAAATGTCCCTAAAAGAAGCGTCCCCGAGTATCCGGAGTCGATCACACGGCTGCTCTGAGAATCAGGGCGGAGCGTCGACGCGACGTCGCCTTCCGTTAACCCAAAATTCGGCCATACGAACTGCATCCAAATGGATCCACCCTCGTGATTCGGTAACACGTGCGATCTTGGGCTCCTTCCAACAACGGTCCCTCGCTCCATCCTCCTCGCTCCATCCTCCTCGCTCCATCCTCCACCTTCTGCGTGCGTTCGTTCCCTCGTATGCCCTCGAAGGGTCCACGTGCTAAATCGCTTTATCTCTCCTTCGCGATCGCGGACTGTTCACGAGGGGGACCGCAACTCTTACCGCATGGTTATTTATTGTTCTTTCTTAATGGCGGGATGCGTGGGAATGGAACACTCGTTATCTCTGAACTTGTCATTTTTCGCGTACAGTTCTTCATTATCTCCTTTTTTATTCCTTACCGAGGATTTCCACTCGCGGGAAACATTTTACGTTCCCGCGATCGAGGCTCATTTCAATTTGCGGAGCTCCAGAATGAAAATATCACGGACGACTTGCATGAAATCCAACCGACTCGAAGGCTCCTAGCTTCATCGTGGACTTCAACCATCGAATTCAACGTCGATTCCTCGTGGGGAAAAAAAAAGGCCGAGGAGCGAGATAAAGCGACCTTGACACGCGAACGAACGGGCTGAAAATCCGAGAAAAAAAAAGCAGCCTTTCTCCGGGGTCATTCTCCGTTCTTTTCGGTCACGTCCCGATTCTGCAACGCGTGGCAACGGCGCATCGTTCACATTAGAATTCAGTCGAAGTACTCTCTGTTGGGAGAAAGGTACGGCTTATGACGGTGTAGTTCGTGTCCTTGGGCGAACGCTTCTCTCCGTTGAAGCTGGGCACGGTGATGGCAAACTTGCGTATCTCCTTGTACGGTAAACACCTGACGGGGAAATTCCTGAAATTTTGAGGAAATTCTGTTTTCCGCAACGTTTTTCGATTTTTTTTTTTTTCAAGTCGGGCGTCTTCTTTCAGAGTCACTTGGAGTAGCACGCTCGTACGAGGCTTTCAGATTTCACGTAGCGGGTCCTCAGTCGGCCTCAGTCCTCAGTCGGCCTCAGTCCTCGGTCGGCCTCGGATCTTCTTCGAGCTTGTCTGCTGTCGAGGCTCGATCGGTGGTTCTTCCCGAGGGCAAACTCATGCACAAAATGTTAAGTTGGTCAACGCGGAGAGACGGACGGTCCGGACCCAGCTCGACGACGGTTCAGGCCAGAGTTGCCGATCGGGGTTGCCGGTCGAGGTTGCCGATCCGCAAATCCTGAGTTAAACGGGCCACTAAACCTGGATCTATAACGAGGGAAGTTTCGTAAGAGCAATTCCCATTTTCGGCCGAGCGATCGTGACTCGTCGGGGCGGTACTGCTGTGCGTGCACTTCGCTCTCGGCAGAAAAGAAGAACCGCGCCCATGGACTCGGGAACGTTGGGAATGCTCTACGGTATACAGAAACGAGCCTTGAAAAAAAAAAAATCGGGAAGGAAAGTCTGGAAAGTCGGGATTCGCAATTCTCGTTCGCTTCCCGCTGCCTCGCCCGAGACCCGTTTCTCGTTTTGTCACGTCGGCCTTCCCCTCTCGTAATGATAGGATTTCCTCCTCACTCGAAGACGTCGCGTGTTTCCAGTGCTAAGCGCCCCGTCAGAAGAATGAGAACCCTTCCCCTAATTCCCCCTTCTTCTGGACCTTTCACCTCCCGATCTCGCTCCCCTCCTCTCCCTCCTTCTTTCTCCGGAGCGTGAGAATCCCGCTCGTACGAATGAATCTGCCTGCAATGACATCGTCGAATCGTAAATTTCTCCTCCCTCCGATGACTCCCACTCTCTCTCTCTCTCCCTTTTACTCGCCTCGCACGTCTCCCTTCTCCACCCCAAATGATGCGGACGATCCCGCTTCGCGAGAATGGGATCCCCGCTTCACCGGATCCAAACGAAGAACCCCCAGGGACGACACCACGCCCCTAGCGCACCCTCCGTCCCGTCTCCACCCCAAATGGAGTTCTTCCAGCCGCTTCTCATCTTCCAATTAACAATGCCAAGAGGCTTTTGCAGCTTGCGACATTTCGCACTGCATCGACCCCGTTGGACTAAACCGTGTAGGGATCGGCCCCTT